GTTTTGCGTGTCTCAAAACTCTAAAAGATTTGTTCTTTTTTTGTTTTCTTTATTATAATTTCAGGGTTTCTTGAATATCTGATTTCAGTAAAAGATTCCAACTTTGGCTTTCTCAAGTAGCTGCTGCTGCAAGATAATGGTAGGAGGTGGAACTAATAGAAGAAGGAGAAGACTACAACTAAGTAAGCTTTACACGCTCACTTGCGCTCAAGCATGTTTTAAGCAAGACCATTCTCAAATCGGAGGACCTGGTTTCTCTCGTGTTGTCTACTGTAACGAACCTGATTCACCTGAAGCTGATTCGAGAAACTACAGTGATAACTATGTGAGGACTACTAAGTATACTCTTGCTACTTTTTTACCGAAATCACTGTTTGAGCAGTTTAGGAGAGTTGCCAATTTCTATTTCTTGGTTACTGGGATCTTGGCTTTCACTCCTCTTGCTCCTTATACTGCTTCTAGTGCCATTGTTCCTCTTCTTTTTGTTATTGGTGCTACTATGGTTAAAGAAGGTGTTGAAGATTTTCGCCGGAAAAAGCAGGTAACTTTTGATTCTTCTCTTCTTTCTCTCAGATTGTGACTAGAGCTGGATTAGATTATCTAGTAGATTTAGTTGAGTTTTAGTTCTGTGAAATTGAAATAGATACCTTTGTGATGTGGTTCTTAGGATAATGAGGTGAATAATAGGAAAGTTAAAGTGCATAGAGGCGATGGGAATTTCGATTTGAAGGAGTGGAAGACTTTGAGTATTGGAGATATAGTAAAGGTAGAGAAGAACGAGTTTTTCCCGGCAGATCTTGTTTTGCTTGCTTCTAGCTATGAAGATGCTATTTGCTATGTGGAGACAATGAACCTTGATGGGGAGACCAATCTGAAAGTTAAACAAGGACTTGAAGTAACTTCGTCTTTGCGTGACGAGTTTAACTTCAAGGGCTTTGAGGCTTTTGTCAAATGCGAGGATCCAAATGCTAATTTGTATTCCTTTGTTGGAACCATGGAGCTTAAGGGAGCCAAATACCCACTCTCACTGCAACAGCTTCTTTTGAGAGACTCAAAACTCAGGAACACAGATTTCATCTTTGGAGCGGTTATCTTCACGGGTCATGACACAAAGGTCATTCAGAATTCTACAGATCCTCCATCTAAGAGAAGCATGATTGAAAAGAAGATGGATAAGATTATCTACCTAATGTTCTTCATGGTGGTTGCTATGGCATTTATTGGTTCGGTTATCTTTGGAGTTACAACAAAAGAAGATTTTAAAGATGGTGTGATGAAGAGATGGTATCTGAAACCAGATAGCTCCAGCATCTTCTTTGACCCCAAAAGGGCTCCCGTGGCTGCAGTCTATCACTTTTTAACGGCAATTATGCTATACAGTTATTTCATTCCTATATCTTTATATGTGTCAATAGAGATTGTTAAAGTCCTTCAGAGCATCTTCATCAACCAGGATATTCACATGTACTACGAGGAAGCTGACAAGCCAGCTCGTGCGCGAACCTCTAATCTGAATGAAGAACTTGGGCAAGTGGATACAATTCTCTCAGACAAGACGGGAACATTGACATGTAACTCCATGGAGTTCATCAAGTGCTCTATTGCAGGGACAGCTTATGGACGTGGTGTTACAGAAGTGGAGATGGCTATGGGAAGAAGAAAAGGTTCCACTTTAGTGTTTCAGAGCAATGAGAATGATATGGAATATAGTAAGGAGGCAATTGCTGAAGAATCAAGCGTGAAAGGATTCAACTTTAGAGATGAAAGGATAATGAATGGAAACTGGGTCACTGAAATTCATGCTGATATCATTCAGAAGTTTTTCAGATTACTCGCGGTATGCCATACAGTGATACCTGAAGTGGATGAAGATACAGAAAAGATCTCTTATGAGGCTGAGTCGCCCGATGAAGCAGCATTTGTTATTGCAGCAAGGGAGCTTGGGTTTGAATTTTTTAACAGAACTCAAACTACCATCTCGGTAAGAGAGCTTGATCTAGTGACTGGCAAACGAGTTGAAAGGTCAGTCCATCCCCTCTACTTTATTTATATTAGCAAAAATGTATTTGTTTTTAGTTACTTGATTGAAATGGTGATGTGTCTGCAGGTTGTACAAAGTCCTAAACGTTCTTGAGTTCAACAGCACGAGGAAAAGAATGTCAGTTATAGTGCAGGATGAAGATGGGAAACTCATATTACTTTGTAAAGGAGCAGATAAGTAAGTGACCTTTTGACTTTAGAACACCTATTCCTGTAGATTTTGAACTTATGTTGTTGACTTGTCTCACTTTCCAGTGTCATGTTTGAAAGACTTTCCAAGAATGGTAGAGAGTTTGAAGAGGAAACACGGGACCATGTGCACGAGTATGCTGATGCAGGTCTGAGAACTTTGATACTTGCATATCGTGAACTTGATGAGAAAGAATACAAAGTTTTCAGTGAGAAACTCAGTGAAGCCAAGAGTGCCGTTAGTGCTGATCGAGAATTGCTGATAGAGGAAGTCACAGAGAAGGTTGAGAAAGACCTGATTCTCCTTGGAGCTACTGCTGTTGAAGATAAACTCCAAAATGGAGTAAGCAAAACCACTGATGATATATATACATGACTAATGTATGATTGGTGAATTGAAATACTCAAATCTTTTCCCTTTGATCCTTGATTTCTTTTAGGTACCTGATTGCATTGACAAGCTTGCTCAAGCAGGAATAAAGATTTGGGTTTTGACCGGTGACAAAATGGAGACTGCTATCAATATTGGGTATCAATTTCTGGGTATCACCTTAATATTATATACTCTTGAGTTTCTGCATACATTTTTTCTACTTTCTTTCCACTCTGTGAACCCTTTTGCGTATTCGTCTTTGACAGCTTTGCATGTAGTTTGCTCAGACAAGACATGAAGCAGATCATAATCAACTTGGAGACCCCTGAAATTCATTTACTTGAAAAAACGGGAGAAAAAGATGCCATAGCAAAGGTAAAGATAGCCAATTTGATATTTAGCGGAATAGAGTTAACAGATCCATATATCAGATGAATGTATCAATGTGTCTTAATTTTTCTTGCAGGCATCAAAAGAAAACGTCTTATCTCAGATACTTAATGGAAAGTCTCAGTTGAAGTATTCTGGTGGAAACTCTGATGCTTTTGCTTTAATCATTGATGGAAAATCACTTGCTTACGCGTTGGATGATGATGTAAAGCACGTCTTTCTTGAGCTCGCTGTTGGCTGTGCGTCTGTCATTTGTTGCCGGTCATCACCAAAACAGAAAGCTCTGGTTAGTTTTTTCACTTATTCTTGGGTATACTTTTTGCTGCTCTCAAGATTTTGACAAGAATTCGCAATGTAGGTGACAAGACTAGTAAAATCTGGAAACGGTAAAACGACGTTAGCAATTGGTGATGGCGCGAATGATGTTGGAATGCTTCAAGAAGCAGATATAGGTGTTGGGATTAGCGGCGTAGAAGGAATGCAGGTTCATTTTAGATTTGTATAACTCATTTGTTTCTTTTCGTTGTATGTTGTTTATTTTGTGTGGGCTAATCCTGATCATTGTTCAGGCTGTAATGTCTAGCGACATTGCGATTGCTCAATTCAGATATCTAGAACGTTTGTTACTAGTCCATGGACACTGGTGTTACAGGCGTATCTCGACAATGGTATATACCATTCCATATCTTATCTTCAAATTGAGACCAACCTTGTGTCATGTATCTTAACATAATCATTCCTTTCTAACTAGTTTTCTCTTATTCACAGATTTGCTACTTCTTTTACAAGAACATTGCGTTTGGTTTCACTCTCTTCTTATATGAAGCATACACAACATTTTCATCGACACCTGCCTACAACGACTGGTTTCTATCTCTTTATAATGTCTTTTTCTCATCCCTTCCGGCTATTGCTCTTGGTGTCTTCGACCAGGATGTCTCTGCACGGTATTGTCTAAAGGTAAACGTGGTCATTGCGTTACAACAGCTTAATTTTCTCACCGTCAAACAGTTTGTGCCAACTTCTTCCTTTTTCTTGGTTATGCAGTTTCCACTCTTATACCAAGAAGGTGTGCAGAATGTTCTATTCAGCTGGCGCAGGATACTTGGATGGATGTTCAATGGATTCTACAGTGCAATAATTATTTTTTACCTCTGCATAAGTTCACTCCAATCTCAAGCTTTCAACCACGATGGGAAAACTGCGGGAAGGGAAATCCTAGGCGGGACAATGTACACTTGCATTGTCTGGGTTGTGAATTTGCAAATAGCATTAGCTATCAGTTACTTCACTCTGATCCAGCACATTGTGATTTGGGGATCCATCATTGTTTGGTACCTTTTCATCACGGTGTACGGAGAACTTCCTGCAAGCATATCAACCGGTGCATATAAAGTCTTTGTTGAAGCTCTCGCGCCTTCACTTTCTTTCTGGCTCATTACTCTCTTCGTTGTTGTCACGACGTTGATGCCTTACTTCATCTACTCTGCACTTCAGATGAGCTTTTTCCCAATGTACCATGGGATGATACAATGGCTAAGGTTCGAGGGTCAGTGTAACGACCCAGAGTACTGTGATATGGTGAGGCAAAGATCGATAAGACCTACAACAGTTGGGTTCACTGCCAGATTAGAAGCTAAAAAGAGATCAGTGAGGAGATCTGAGCCTGAATCATGACAGTGGAACTAACCAAATATCAACCTGTCTCCTCTTGAATGGTTTTTCATATTCAACTGACTCGCAGAACGTAAATAGAACCATATATATGTGGAAGGAAGAAGCAAACTTGGGTCAGACACTTGGCCAAAGAAGGCTTTCCGACCAGTTGTTGTACATTCTGATTCTTGCGGCCTTGCCTTGTCATGAAACGAGATCTTACAGGTCCGGTAAATTGTGTTTACAGAACAGCTGAAGATTATACATCAGAGTTCCAGTAGAGAGATTGCCATTAGTCCTTTAATTTGTTACTGTCATTCTCACATCTTAGAGAAAGTAGAGATATTCTAGTTAATTACCGCATTGTTTCAGTCCTCTTAACGCTTCATTATGTGGATTCTTGAATCCAATAAGACATCTTCTGTAATGAGAAAGGACAAGGACTGATGATCTCTGTAATTAGTTATTTCGAATCGTGAGTTTCCGAAATCCAAATCATTTGCAGAGTCCCCTTGTCTCCAAAAACTCCCAAACACAAACTCTCCTTCCATGGAAAATTCCTGCATCATCTCCTCAATGTCTTCCATGCAACTTAATCTTGACTCAGGCTCCTCTCTGCAATCTTCCTCCTTTGTCGGTAGGAAGATTTGCGCGTCTCTTCTCTTCTTTCCTCGAAGCCTTCTGGTCACAAATCTCTTCATTTTATGTGCAACTTTACAAGGAATCTTGAAGAAGACGAAGATAAAGACTTGTAGTAGAAAGCACTCGCAGCAGCAACAAAGGATAACACAATCTCCTGCAACAGCACCACAATGTTCTTCCATTACTCTTGATGCATTGAAAACATGTTGAGATTTAAAACAAAGATATAGAGAATGGTTATCATGGAGAACATAAAAACTTAAGAGGTGACATCAGATTGTGTCAAAGGAATATGTTCCTTGCCAATATTGGTATCAACAAATGCAAGGTAAAGCAACACGCATGTGTTTGTTTTTTGCACTTATTATAGCATCACATGTGATTTGTGACGCATTTAGAAGCATTTGTATTAGGAAGCTTAGACGTCAAAACAACTAACAATCTTTCGTTTTCTTTGATTCTACTACGCTCCAACACGGTAACTCACAAGGGTAAATCAGCCTTTCTGCATCTGGAAACTGAGCCAGATGAAAACACAATGACACAATCACAGATAGATAGAGCCTTATTGATTCATCATAAGTATAAGATTGAGATAATTTGACAAGGAAGTAACGTCAGAAAAGGTAAAGGTATAAAAACAAAAACAAAAATAGAAACAAAAGTACTTCCATGTAAGAAACCTATAACATAAGTATATTACCCATCTATCCCTTTTTCTCATCTTCTGTTCAACCACATAGTCCTCTGTAATCCTCTGTTTCTACAAATTGTTTTGGTAGTCTCTTTAGTTTCACCACATGGAAACAGAAAGCTGAACACAAATCAAGAAGAAAAATCAAAACCAGAGAGATATTCTTAGTTTCTTACTGTTTTAAGAACTCTGAAAAGATTCTGCTTTGAGATGGAACCTGCTCTCCATAGTTACAGGAACAAGATGTGCGGGTTTGAGGCGTAAAAGATGGGAAGTTTTTTTCAGGCAAAACTGGGATGTTCTTGATGGGTTGTTGCCTCTAATGGCGAAAGAAAAAAACAATGTGTGTATATGATATTTACACGTTTTCGTCTCTGCTATTGTAACTACTATGTGTGAAAAAATCTGTACTGTAATTTTGGCTACCAAATGCCATTCTTCTAAATAATCTGATCTCTGCTGACTGTTGAGCTGAGTTAAAGACCTCGCTTTCGCCTAGTCTCATTCCGTTGGTAAGGTCTTCCCCAGCTAAACTCTCAAAAGCTCTCACAACCTGCAAAATATATCAAGATTTATCTTCACGTTATAAGCAAATAAAACTCTTCTCGAGGAATAAAGAAAAAAAAATTGTTTGTACTTGTCCCATTCGAGGTCTCTTGGCAGCTGAATGGCGCACGCAGGCTCCCGCTGCTTCAATCATTCTAAACATTTCAGAACCTACATAGTTATCTCCAAGCTTGGGATCTGCTAAAGAATCAAAATCCTCGGTTTCGATGGCATGACTTATCAGAGGCCGGGCCTGAAAAACAAATAATGCAAAGTTCAAACAACTTGATTTGAAGAAGAGGTTTACATGTCAATGGATGCTTAAATATAGCTGTCTTACCCATTCAACAAGGCTCTCGTCTCCCAGTGGTTGGGATGTATCCACTGGCTTACGTCCAGTGATTAACTCAAGCAGAACAACTCCAAAAGAGTATACATCTGATTTCTCTGTTAATTTTCCACTTGATGCATATTCAGGAGCCATGTAGCTGTGAAGTAGATGAATGAAAGATTTCAGCCAGAGAACAAAATATGCGATCCTGTAATCAAACAAGGCAACCACCTACCCAAATGTTCCAATAACCCTTGTGGTGATATGAGTGTTACAGTCAAGAGCTAATCTTGCAAGACCAAAGTCAGAAACCTACAAAAAATTGAGAGATCAAAATACTGTTTAAGTCGCAATGTAACAGAAACCTTGCAAATCTAATATAGTAGACCAAGTATGTGTACCCGAGCATCAAAGTTGTCCTCTAAAAGAATGTTAGACGACTTAATGTCCCTGTGAATGATACGCGGGTGACCTGACCATAGACAATTTAGTAAGAATAGCCAAATACCACTAAGACTACTTCTTCAAATACTGTGGTCCTCACAATTATATGGAAGTTACCATCCAAAGCAAAGAACATATGACTGAAAGAGTCAAACTAGTGGGTTGAGCTACAACTTACAATCTTCATGAAGATAAGCTAGTCCACGAGCAGCACCAGCAGCAATTCTAACACGTGTTGCCCAGTCCAGAGCAGATTTTGCTCCTGTTTAAAACACATGGAAGATTGTGTCAGTCCCAGTGGTGTGCATAATATAAAGAGTAATCTTGGAGATGTTTTGACTTTACCATGAAGGTGGTAGTAAAGGTCGTTGTTAGAGACATAATCGTAAATGAGCAATCTGCGGTCACCAGAGATGCAATGTCCCACGATGGAAACCAAATGGCGGTGGTGAATTCTGCTAAGAGTCTCAACTTCGGCTTTAAACTCTCGGTCGCCTTGTCCTCCACCGATTTTAAGTTGCTTCACAGCAACTACTCTCCCATCCGGTAATATTCCTTTATATACACTACCAAATCCACCTTCACCCAATAGATTTACTTCTGAAAACCCATTTGTTGCCTTCACAAGTTCGTCGTAGGAAAACAATGCTTTCGAATTGCCTAAGCCGCCAGATTGTGACTGTGAGAAATACATATTATGACTTCCTGAACGCTTGCTAGCTACAACAGGTGCAGATGACTGCATCCGAAAAAATGCTGAATCTGTACATACGAATATCAAAATGTAATGAGAATCAAGAAATGCACACACAAGAAACCATTTTTACATAGTCTAATGAAACAGTTTTAAGAATTCCTATCAAACTAGTAATACCTGATCTTGCGGTAGAGCTCATTGGTGATGGAGTAACATCCCCACCACTAACAGCTGAAAGACGTTTTTCTCGTCTCCTCAAGCACCAGACAAAAATTCCAATAAGACTGAACACCACAAGTGCCACTGCCACACTGATTCCAACAACCGCACCAGCACCAATTCCACTACCATTACTAGAATTTGAGCTATCAGGAGAAGGCCTAATAGTAGGGATGTTCTGAGAAGGATTGTCAGAACCTGGGACAAGTATTTGTGGGGGAGGAGAAGAGATCGTTGGCGGTGGAGAATCTGGACTTCTCTTGGGAGGTGAAGGTTTAGTATCCTTAGGTGGTGAAGGAGGAGACTGCGTGGGCGGTGAAGGAAGAGGAGGAGGAGGAGACTGAACGGGACGCTCTGAAGGCGGTGAAGGAGGAGGAGGAGATTGAACGGGACGTTCTGAAGGCGGTGAAGGAGGAGGAGGAGATTGAATTGGACGCTGTGATGGTGGAGGTGGAGGAGGAGAACGTTCAAAGATTGGTGGTGGTGGTGAAGGCGAAGGCCGTGGAGGAGGAACAGATGCAGGAGTTGGAGGAGAAGAAGGTAATGGTGGGACTAATGCAGGTGACGGAGGAGGACTACTTGGTGGCTGCACCGTTGGTGGTGGTGGCGGTGAAATTGAAGGAGGAGGTGAAGGGAGCACTGGCTGCGGTGGTGGAGGAGAGCTCTCAGGTGATTTTGGCAGAGGAGGAGGAGGAGATGCTCCATTTGGTACTGGTGGTGGTGAAGTCACAACCGGAGGAGGAGCTCTGTTTGGTGGTGGCGCTGACGGAGGAAGCGGCGATGTTAATGTTGGTGGTATTGCAGGAACTGATGTTGAAGTGTCATTAATACTTGGAGGAGAACTCGGCGGTGAAGCTACCGGAAGAGACGGTGGAGAATTTGAAACCGGAGGTTGTACCGGAGTTGTTGCCATTTCAATTCCGATCAACAAATCTACTAGTCATCCAAAGAAGTTGAAATCTTTCCCCCTCCAAGAAGATGAATCAAAATCACTAAATCAAGAACCCAAAGAACCTAAAATTTGCAGACTTTGAGTATGACAGTATCCTGAAAGCACCAAACTTTACCAACCAAGAAGCACTAAACGTGAAGAAGTAGCAACTTTCAAGATCACACACAGCTAATAACACCTTTTGATTAAACCCTAATTTACTCAAAAACACCAAGCTTCAAGACAAAGCAGAGAAGATGATGATGATGTAATAGATCAAACCCAGATCGTTAATAAAAAATCAACTTTACTTGCTTCCCACCAAATTCCAGATCACTCACGCAAAACCAGATCACTGAGATTACCCACAATTTTGATAGAAAAATGTAATAAACCTCAGATCTGTTAGAGCTTTCTGCACTTCAATATCATAACTTTACACATCTTCAGCCATTGATGAACAGAGGAGAAAACACAAACACGAAGTAACTAACTTTGTCTTGTCCCTTCTTCTTCTTCTCTCAAAGTTGGAATCTTGAATCTGTAGTAAGGAATCAAAGTTTCATTCTTCTTTTTTTTCACTTTCTTCCAATGATGCTTCAAAACAAGTTCTGAAATGTTCTCAGCGTCTTCTTCTCTGAGAAAGCTTCAATGCTACGTTAAATCAACGGTCAAAGAAATTGAAAGACTTTTAATTCGTTTTTAAGGAAATAAATTTGTTTACAAAACTGAATTCAAAATCAAATTATAGCTACTTCCCAAATTCACCGTAAGCTTTTTTTATTTCTTTCAAATTTGTATTTTTTTTGCTTGTTTTTTATGATTTTTATTTAAACTCCTACGCGTGATATTATTATTTTTCGCTTGTATACGCGCTTTGTCATCAATTAGATCGGCGCTCTAATTAAAAACATCAATTTATTTTGTTTTAACAATAAAAACAAAAAGAAAATAACACACTGTAAAAAAATTTGTTTATTACAAAAGTAAAGTAAATTTTTATCTCAATCAAATCTCACATGACGCTAAATTGTCTATTTAAATTTTTTTTTATTTATTAAATAACAGGTAGTTGTCAGCTCAATAATAATGGCGGTTAATATTATATTGAAATGTTGTTCTTATATTACGTATTTTGATATTTCTATCAAGAATTTTTAGTTGACTTTTTATATATTTCTCAAGTTGTGGTTTGACTTGACCGCTTGTAAAAATTAATTTTAAATTATTGGTTTCTTTAAATATAAATTTTTTGACATAGTGTATTGCGTTTAAAAGGACAAAGGTTATTTATAAAATTATAAATATTGGAGTATCTCTTTCATTTTTTATAGCACATGGACATCTAAAGGACAAAACCAATGTAAAACTAGTGTCTAGGATCTCTCATTCTTCGAACTTCAAAAGATTGTGATGAGTGCACTTATGTCATCACCGGGTGGTCTTGACGCTAACCATTTCTAAAACGAACAACAACTACAAAACAACTTGGACAACATAAATAGATTGGGCAAAGTTAAAGTTAAATTGGTCCAAACAATGAAATTTGAATAGAAGCATTTGACACATTACTACTAACTAAAATCACATTTTAGAAAATTCGCAAGACGGTTTAGTCGTAGTGGTGGTGTTCGTATAAATGCAAAATGTTCTCACGAGAAAAAAAAAAGTTATACACACAAGAAAAAAAGACACTTTTGATGGTAACATGAAAAATATACGTGTCGCCTTCAAAACCTTGAAACCCAAAAAGAACATTCACAAAGCCGTGATCCCAAAACATTCCAACCACCAATTTTTTCATTTTTACACACTCTCGCAATCGTATATCTCACCACCACGTGCCATTTCTCCATATCCTTACTTTGTGAACAAGTCATACAATTTTAAATAGGAGACATGTGGTGTGAGAGCTAAGTGAGGATCTTAAAAGGAGAAAACTATTATATTTTTTTTATGATGACTAAACGCACTTGTTGATCCCATCATCATTGCTTTGCATAAGAGTTGTAATTCAGCAACACCTGCCACCTCTCTGTGTCTCTCCACTTCTTATATTATATTGTGTATAAAATATATTCCTTTGTTTATATCATATACATGTGTTCATGTTGGAATGCATCTTATGTCAAACTGTATTATGTAACACTCAAGAATGTGATTTGAAAAAATGTAGAAGCTGATAAACTTTTTTCTCTTCTTAGGGAAACAAGATGATTGTGACTAATGGATTAATGTGTCAAGAGATTTAAACCCAAAAGCAAAATTTATTTATCTGAAAAAAAAGAAGACACCCGAAGAAGTATTCGAGCTCTTGTTGAATGGCTCTGCAACTCCCATTTCTATTCATTTGCTCTCTTGATCGTATATATCCGTTCTGTGATTTTCATCTATAAGGAATAATCAAAACAAAATAACATTCTAAAGAGACTCTCAACACTATCAAATGCATGTAGCAGTTTTCCAAAACCCATATAACAGACTCTGCTTATATCAAACAAAGCAGCTTAACAACACAAGGAAACAGCATCAGCTCAAACTACTCTCAACAGATTCCGCTCAATCACTGAAATGTTCAGTATTTGCTGTCACTACTATCAGGAACTTGAGAGGTTAATACAAGAAATTTCAAGAATTACATCATGGAGAAGAGAAACATACCAAACTATCAACATTGGTCACTACAAAACTACCATAAGTGATTCTGAAACCTAAAAACCATCCATCAACTACAAGCTAACTTATTTCAATTCATCACACATGGTTTATAGTTTTCACCTTTTCAATTCTAGAAATAATTTGTATAAAACACACACAGATTGAGCAAACTTCAACAAAAACATAATGCAGGAAAGGAGAAAAATGTTAAATCTCCTAACCACAAAAAACATATTTGATGAGTTCCTGTGATTAGATAGATGATACAAATCAGGATCCACTGCCTATATACTTACACATATCTTATCACAATGCAAAAACTCAGTAAGCATCAGTTTAAATTATCACCTCTTCTATGCAAATGAAGATAAACTAACATAGCCCAAACATTGAATTATGCCTAACAAATCCTCAACACGAGTGATAAAACTAGACAAGGAACTCACTACCTTTAAGTCTCTAAGCTTACTTACACATATCTTTATCTCTATGCACAATCTTGACTAAACCCAAACATGCATTTACCAAAGCAAAGCACACTACTTTAGTTTGAACAATCCATCCAGTAAAGAAAGAAAGAGGATACACAAGATAGAAGCCATGAGCGAAAGCACCGACGAGGACGAGGCCGAAGAGACGGTCTCTGAGAACTGGCTGACGCCTTAAAGATAACCGGATCAAAGGAAGAGCAGGCGCGTATATGAGAGGCACCAAGAATTTGATCGGAGCTCCTTTCTTCTTCCTCTCCATCACTGGTTTTGATGGATCGCTTGACGACGCCATCACTCAGAGATCCCTTTCCCCCCTTTTCCCAATTTGCGATTTAGCGCGATTCAATTTTAGGGATCTCTTCTTTTTTTTTTGGTTTGCTTATTAGCTTTTTTGTTTAATATTTTGCTAAAAACAAATAATAATAATTTTACGAATCTCATAAACGGGCCTAAATTATCAAAAACAAAGCCCACAATCAAGCTGCCCGCATAATAGTAGGTATTAAGATGTTACATCACACACGAAGCAAATGTCACAATTTAATGAGACTTGAGATTCCTATAACATTTATAAATCGAATCATATAATCAAAAACTAATCGTTCCATTTACCTATAATCTAGGAAAAGACTTGTTCAACACATGGACTTAGTCAACAAACAAAGACTTAAAAATGTCATTTTATTCTTAAGAAATCCTGATTCGAGTTAAGAGAATATTTATAATCTAAAATAAAAACAATCGATTTCATTTGATTATGGTCACTATTAATTAAGTAAGATTCAGAGGCGGCCACGTTGGAGAGTTATAATATTAAAGAAGACTTTATAATTAAAATTCCCATGCAAAAAGATAGATTTGGACAATTCTATTATGTGAATTGGTTTTGGGTTAGTTGGTGAATGGATAAAACGATTCATGACCTGCCACGTCGTACGTGCCTTTCGTTACCATAATACAAAACAAAATCACATCTTATTTGTCACACCAATTAGATACATTAAGATTCGCCCACGTGAATCTCATTCATCTTATTAGATTAGATCCTTCATCCTTTTATATGACTTCGTATCTAAATCGTTCAAGGAGGTGATTAGACCTTAGCTTAGGCGTTACGAGACATGTATTTTATATATATAACATTGGTCTATTTTATTCAAAACCCTATGGAAAACACATTTCTTGGTTACAAAAACAAAACAAGACGAAAATTTTCTTCACTCTCTCACATGACATTATCAAAACCTACAAAATCATGGACTTAACTATGACACAGGAGTTGTGGCTGTATTTATAGAGGAAGATGCAGCCGGCGAGGAACAGCTTCTCTCCAACGAACGTTTGGGAGACTGCGCCACCGCGACAGGAGCATATACACCACCACCGTTGTTGGCTACATCGGACGGTGGAGGAAATTCTTGTGGCGACGGCACCCATATGCCTCCGACCACCACGAATTGCGGCTGTGGCGGGTTACCATTACTCTGTGCCGCCACCGCTGTCGCTGGCCTTCTTGTGTGAAGTCTATATTTCTGAAAAATATTCCACAAAATGGTTTGGAAAAATTGAGTAACATTATTTCATTTAATTATTATAACGTGTAATCGGTAACATACAAAAATTGATTAGTAACCTGTAAATGGCTTTTAACTTCGTCATTTGTTAATCCATCAACTTTCATATGATCTCTAATCTGTTTAGGCGTAGCAACTGCAAAAATTAGCATTAATTAAATTAATTTATCAATTTAATTACCAATGAGCCAATCAGAAGATAACAAAAGATAATCCGGTAAATAATTACCATGAGATCCTCCGAGCTGTTGAAGCGCGTTTAGGAATCTCCGGTGTAATTCCGGTGACCAGCACCGTCTTTGCTTTCTATGCGTCTGGGATTGCGATTGTTGCTGCGGTAGCATCTGTATCTGCTCCTCTCCAACTTTATCCGCATCACTTTTAGCACCACCAGTTTCCGTCGTGGAGCTAGTCGTCGTCGCCGGCGCCGGTGCCGAGCTGACAACTTTCACAGCCGCCGGTTGCAAATCAGTTTCCAAAACGCGTTTTTTCTCCTTCTGAAACGGTTGAAACGCACCGCTTTTTGGTTTCACCTCCACCACTTTCGCTTTCTTAACTACACGCTCCTAATAATTCGATTTAACACACAAAAGAAAACATAATTAAGGTTTTTTCTCGTAATAAAACTCCTCTAGAAAAAGCTCAAACTTTTAAAATACCTCTTTTGGGTTAAGATCCGGCGATGGATTCCATAACTGAACAGATCTAAGCCAATCAGATTTCTTATTAAGTTCCGGAGAAGATTCATGTTCTTCTTCATCTTCATCATCATCTTCTTGACACAACGATCTCTTCTTGATTGGAATGAACTCCTCGAAAACAGGACCACCGCAAACACTTGTGGTCTGTTCAGAACACTGTTCTGATGTTGTCGTACCAGATAGCTCCTTCCGACAAGCTTCGATCGCTACAGAACCCACCAAAAACAAGACAAACCCCATAAAGAGATGTACAAAAAAAATTGAAGATATTGATATATAGATAAAAGATAATAATACCTTGAGTAACGAGTTCTAAACATAAAGGAAGCTCGCGTTGAAAGACTTGGATTTTTTTCTGTTCTTGTTCAAGTGCTTCAACGTACTCATGACATTTCTGCATTTTCTTAGCGTAATCCATCTCTAACATCATTACTACTGTTAAAAAGGAACCAAAATGGGTCGTAGTAGATCTATAGAGAAACAAGAAGAAGAAAGAAACTTTAATCTCAATGGAGAAAGAATATTGGATCTTGAAATGGAATAAAAAACATAAAGAAGAAATTTCAATGTTTTGAAGAGGATAGAGATAGAGATAGAGATAGAGAGAGATAGAGATAGAGAGAGAGAGATGGTTTTGGTATTGGGGTATTTGGAACAAGAAGAAGAAGAAGTGAAGGGGATCGAGGTCGGGGCGTCGCGTACCTAAAAGGAATCTTTTGAGTTTTTTCTTGAAAAGGGTAAAATGGTAAATATGGGAGGACGTGGGGTTAAGGTGTGTTTTTGTGTGTGAATATTCGGAGGATCAGATTCGAGTAATTAATGAGGTTCGCATCTGTTTTGTAATGGAAGCTGGAACTGACGTCACTATTCTCTCCAGGATAAGAACGAAGACTCGACAGTTTCTATTTTTCTCTTCTTCCTCTCTTAACCCCAATATTAATAAAGATTCACAACTCCAACAAGGTTTCCTCGTAATTAATTTTTTTTTATATAACAAAATTCAGATTCCAGAGTTTTTATCCTTAATTTAATAATTATCACTACTTTGTGAAATGATTTTTTGTGTATTGTTATGTTGAAACCTACTTTATTAAATTGAATTTACTTTTGTTATGCGTTATTTTCATATAATAGACATTTACCTTACAAAAATGTGCGTTATTTAAAAAGAGATATTATTAACATTCCCCCAATAAATTAATATATATTACTATAAATATAATATATATATATATAATTATATATTAGGGCATCATCCACCTAAATTCACCATTTTACGTGTGTGAGTTGATGTTTAAAATTCTCAAGTTAAAATTACAATTATCTAGTGTGGAAATTATTTGGAACAATTAGAAAGAAGAAGGAAAAAAAAATTATATAAGAGCTAATTTGGTGAAGGAATATTCTCCGGAACAAAAAAGAAGAAAAGAATCAATTAGGAAGAAGAATCTTTTGGAAGGAAGTGTGAGATTCACATTTGCCCACGCCGCGTATATATATATATATATATACATTATTCATTAATTAATTAATTAAATATCTCCGACCTTTCATTCCCCTCAAGAGCCAGAGCCAATGTTCTTCACTTCTTCACGCGTTCTCCCGCGCGTGCCCACGTGCCTTTGATGCAACCAGATTCTGCTTTTGTCATTTATTTTTATATCTTCTTTCTTTGGCTTATTCAATTTTGTAGCATTTGGTCTCATCGTTATCTGTTTAGATTCTCTTTCATTATAATAAAATACATAATTATGAATAAAGGTCAATTCTGATGGGTTTACTTGCAAAATGGTTTAACTAGGATGATAAGCAATTAAGCAAATATCAGATTCATTTCTCAACATGTTCGTATTCTCAAAACAGCAATTTGTTATAGAGCCGAAGAACTTGAAATATCTAAAATCTCTTACGTTTAGAACCTTTATTGTCTCAGTTTGAATGGGCAGAGGAGGGAGTCATGAAGCAAAATACATAGTTGGTCTCATTTGGAGGTGTGGGACATTTATATCTAAACGATCTTTGCTTGGCTCAATCAATTATTAATTTATCAGCACATGTTAATGATTGTATTCATGGGGAAAAAAAATCACAAATACTTTTAAAAACCTCTTTTCTTTTTATATCAAAACTAGGTTCGGATCCGCGCTACAACGCGGGAGAAATAATTATATATATATAACTTTTAACGGATTAGAATATGTTATATTTTAATTTTATTGCAATATCGTCGATTAAAGTGAATCATATATTTACGTAATAAGTTTAAATAAAAAAAAAAAACAAAAAGCGAGTAAATAATAATAGATTGAGTTTTGATACAATTAAAAAAACAATGAAATATAACAGAACGAAAGAATATTTATCGACAAATTATTCAACTTGACCATTTTTGTAGTTAGAAGTAGAAATATATGTAAAAATTACATACTTACAATATAATTTTTGAAGGATCCACCCGTAGCATAATTCATTTTAGAAAAAACATTATTCATAACTCGCTATACAATTCTAATTGTGATTTTAATAAACTACCCGCAAACTATCTAAAATTTACATAGTATGATATATAATATTTTATCAATAAAAATTATGTCTCCAAAATTACATCTATGTCTCAAAAAAATCTTTTTAATATTTTAAATTCTGTATTTTTATATTTTTGAACCTTTTAATTATAATATTTTGAAACTTTTAAATATGCTCATGTAACAATGGTTTTAATATTGGTCATACTTATACTGATTTTAAATCATTATCCAAAATATTATTTGCCCGTTTTAAAAAATTCAAATTGCAACATATCCAAAAAAATAATTAAATTTTTATTAAATATTTTTATTATATAGTATAATATCATAAATTAAAAATAATATCAAATAAAATTTAAAGAAGAATAATAATTGTTTAGTTAGAGATTTATTAGGAAATCATAAAATTAGTTATGGAAATTATATAATTTGAAATTTAGATATGGAAACTATCCGATGTATGTATCCAAACCCAATTTAATATCCAATTCTAAAGTATCCAATTGTTAAAATCGGGTTAATTTTTTAATTTTGACCCGACCCGTATTCCATTTTGTACTTCTCTTTTACTAATATAGAAATATTTCATTTTGTACTTCTCTTTTACTAATATAGGGATGATGTGAGAAAAAATAATAAGCAATGGGGCAAAGATCCTAATTGTCCAAACTTTCCGTTGTATTTCAAAAATACTCGATTTTTTGTCTAGAATTCGAGAATTTAAAATTTGAAAATATTTATTTTTATTCAATTAAAAATTAAGTTTTTTAAAAATATAAATAATCTTAAATAAAAATGTCATATTCAAAATAATAATAAAAGAAAAAAAATTAACAAGCATTTGTCTTGCACAAATCAACAACCAAAGAAGTCCCCAAGAAGAGAGGAACAACAAGCACCTACAAATCCTCCAAGTTCTTCTATTAAATGGATAACTACTTATAAACATATATCAAATCGTTTATACCAAAAATCATCCACTTCATTATATCTAAACGATCTTGCTTGGCTCATATACATTTAAATCCTCCACAATATGAAAAAGATCATAGAAGTAAATGCTAACCAAGTTTACTTATTAAAAATGCACACATCTTGACCAAATACAAAGATATTTTCATTAGAGCAATTATATTATTTTCATTATATCGATGGATAAAGAAGACAAATTATCATAAAATTTGCTACAAATTTTCTTCAATTGGTACTAGAAATAATTTATTTATATTTTAATGTTCGAATGATAAAAAAATATTGTTGTTTTGCCTTCACCATTTAGATTAGATTAGAAATAAAGACTGAAATCATTTAATGAAATGTTTTTAGTCTAGTCCAACCTTATATTAGAGATTGAGGCCTTAATGTAAATCTTTGATTAAAAAAAAAAGTGTTGCTCACTATGGCAAAAAGATATTAGCACAACATGAATACTGAATAGCATAAGTTGATTAAAATATGTATTAAATTTGATCAATAAATAGTAAAAAAATGCTATGATTACCATTTCGGTTGATTTATTAACATCATTTTACATTTATAATCTATACAACTATATAAAAAAGGTATAAACCACAATACATATACCATTGATCCGTGACTAACCAACAAATGTTCGTATATATAACTTAATCCAGAGTCACTAAACCGGAAATAATCAATTGTTTCGAATTCGGGTTCGATAAACCGAGACGGTCAAACAAAGTGGTTGAACTTGAATTCCAATGATAAAACGCAGCGTTTTGAGGTCGAGGGGAAACGTGAAATTGCGTAAACCACCAATTTCTGAAATTGTTTTCTCCATATTCTTTTGTGATTATAATTGTTCGGTCCTGATTATATCCTGTGTTTTTGCGGAGAGGACTTGAGAACTGTGAAGCACTCGAGAGCGAGCGAAGAGACAATGGACACGACGATTTGTGGGAGATTAGCTCTCGCACCATCCACTCTCTTCAGTTCCAAATCAGGTTTCTTCTTCTTCTTCTTCTTCTTATCTCTTTATCTCTGATTCCGTATCACACATGATTTCAAAGTTTGAAACTTTAGTAATCAAATTCAGGAGTTTTCTGTGTTTAATTTGCTCACTCCAATTGCTATATACTGATTTTGACGGTTGGTTTTTATAGTTTAGACACGTATGTTACTATGTGAGGCAATTAGGTGTTGGAAAGAGGCAAGCTTTAAACTTGTCTGAAACTGAAACTATCCTGTCCTAAACAAAACAGAGAATTATTGTACAGGTTTCTTGATATTTATAGGCTACATACAAAAAGAAATTTATGTTTATTGAAGTGAATTTTCAGATTATGTTTTTAAAGATGTGTTGATGTTTCTGACTTTTCCCCTTTCTTAAAAGATTCAGACACTTTGTTATCTCTGTTGCTTTTGTACTTGTACTTTAGTTTCAGCTGTCTCCTGGATTCTTGTAAATTCTAAGGCAACTTGTGCAAGCAACACACTTGAATCTTGATAAACACTTTAAATGAGTTTACTAGGGATGCTGTAATATAAGCTTCAATACAAAAAGTGGTTCCTTCTTGCATGAACTTCATCGTTCTTTTTTTCTCTGATATCTTGTGTTTGCATACCTTGCCGTTTACTTTCCATGGATATATTTTTTGATAACAGTGGATCTCTCTCTCTTACTTGATGTGTGCAGGTGACAAACATTCACTCTCTAAAGGACCATGTTTGAATCGTGGTGTTCTTATGACTTTGTCTACATCCGCCGCATTGGGTAAAGGAGGTGGTGTCCTGGACAAACCAATTATTGAGAAAACCACTCCTGGTCGTGAATCTGAGTTTGATTTGAGGTATGCCTACAAAGGTCCCAACTTTAGTTTCAAATTGCCAAATTCATACGCTTTCCTCTACTCACATCTAGGACATAGTCTTGAAGAATGTATTGTTGTCAGCCTGATCTATTTCAGTGTATATAATTTTGATCAAGAATTAGGACACTCGGAGAACTGTTTTGTGATTCTTTCTTTGCTCTGATTCAGGAAATCAAAGAAGATGGCTCCACCTTACAGGGTGATACTACACAACGACAACTTCAACAAGAGGGAATATGTGGTCCAGGTGTTGATGAAGGTAATACCCGGCATGACTGTAGACAACGCAGTTAACATTATGCAAGAAGCCCACATCAACGGTATGGCTGTTGTGATCGTCTGTGCTCAGGCTGATGCAGAGCAACACTGTATGCAGCTGCGTGGTAACGGCCTTCTCAGTTCTGTTGAACCCGATGGTGGAGGCTGCTGAAACTAATTAAACTCAGTATAGATTTTCCCACCTCCCAGGGCTCTCTATTTTTAGTTAAAAATTTGTCCTTTAATGTATATAACATCAGAACTTTGGTACAAGACTGTTACTATATGCAATGAACCTTGCCCCTATATAGATCTGTTGTTGAGTTGAAGTTTCTTTTCATATTGAACTTTAGAATGCAAATAAACAAAACTTTATTGAAGTCAAATGGTGTCAAATGGTGTTACATATGAATCTTTCTGATCCTGTAATCACTATTGTAAATGTATCTAAGCAAATTGTAAGGGACTGTGTTGCAGCTTCATCTTGGCCTAAAAAGCTTTCAAATCCAAGAAACCTGCAGTTTCAAGACATATGGAAAACTTAAAGAGGATTAAAAATATGAATGTTGTTGCCAAAATAATTAGCTGCAACTGAGTGAATACCATATGGAGGTATCAAGCATCAATCGGAGTAAGGAACGACTGGATGCCAAAAATAATGAAAAGCATTCCACCAGAAAGAGCCACCTGCAACAACATAAGAGTTATTTGATCAAAATTCTTACTCAACCCTGTAGAACCTTCAGTAAAGAGAGGGATATAAAAAAACATTACAATTCGTTCAGATATTTGAGATGCTAAGCTCTTGCCACCAAGCACAGCAGCTGTGGTGCACAATGTTTGTGCACTGTGCAAGCAGAGAGATTAGTAAGCAGTAGAGAAAGGGATACCAGTTTGATATAAATCATTATGTGTAGAAGACTTACACAATTCCGCCAAGGACCACGCCGAGTGGATTTTCATCTGCAGCCAAACCAATGGTGGCAAGCTAGATATAGAGTAAGTTACAGTGAGTATGTGAAGCACTAGCTAAAGTAGAACCAAGCAAATTGATGCAGCAGACGGAAAGTTACCTGACTCTTGTCACCCCACTCTCCAAAGAAGTTAATTGAAAACGCCTTTAGAAGAGACAAAAATGTGAGTCAAGTTGCAGAGAGTTCAATTCTTTAAATAGAGATTCTGCAGAGATTTTATACATTACCTTGAGAAAAATGGGAGAGAAGAATGCAGTAAGGAATGGTCTTTTCTGCTTTTTCTGTTCATCTTCAATCTACAACATCAGAAATATATTATAAAACCTTCACATACCCTCAAACAGTCTTGAATCATTTAGGATCTAGTTCCACACCTTACTGCTGTCTTTTTTCGATTGATCACTACTCTTCTTCAAATCAGAATCCTAAATATTAAACAAGTGTCAACCGGAAAGCATTGTCTTTAGATATGAAAAAGATGTTCAAGAAGAACAACCAACCAGTTCTGCTTCAACTTCTGCCAATTCTTCAGAACCCCTGCATATATAAAACAGATTTGGATAAGAAAATGCTACCTGAAATTTGTGGAAACAAACACTGTTCCTCAAGTCATCTAAATTCTCTTACCCTCCTTCTTTAAAACCGTCCCACAAAGACCATAAACCGAAGCCAAAGAACAAGAATGTTGTTATGTGATGGGTCCATTTTCGAGAGATCTGCAAAACCGAGTCTAGTTCGAATCAGCGACTGTCTAATTGCAAGTTCATAGAGATTCTACGGTAACAGGCACAAGCATTCTCATAATATCTTACCAGATTTGGAGCAGCCCAACCGAGTGTAGCAGATAGAATAGTCATGACCTAAAAGTAAAAGCAAGAAATGAGCTTTCTCAAAACTTAAAAGAGTTCATTGAACTCAACAATTGTATTAAGACATAGGACCAAAACTTACAATCAAAGCCGATAAACAACCAGCCAACACGAGTCTCCTAGGATAACGCATAGCCAAAATCTGGTTACAGAGTAAGACATCTAACATATTAGCTCACAGAAGAAACATCATCCCTACAGAAGCTACTAAAAAAGGGTTAATAGTCAGCTCAGCTACAATTTGGGAGTAAGTTCAGATTTTGATAAAAAAAAGTCAACAGCTTTGATCAAAGAACATGACTACTTCAACATCTAAACTTAGCTCAAATTCTCCAAACTAAAAAGAAACGAATCATCAAATCAAAATTGGAGTTGAAATGTTTGTAAAGCTTCGAGCTTTAAGGACTCTAGATTGATCTCACCATTTATAAAGTTTCACTTTTTAGTACACACTCTTTAACTCCAAAATATTAAAGATCAGGAAGAAGAAGATGAGTAAAAGAGAGCACTTACAGCAGCAGCAAAGAACGTTTTGTCACCAATCTCAGAGAGGAAAGTCATGGCGAGTGATTTAGTAAAACCCTAAAAGCAACCCATCAATTAGCTTTGATTCCAAAAGTTTAAGCAAAACTTTTGAGGTTGAGAAAGAAGAGATTAGCTTTCAAAGTGAATAAACATACCTGCAAAAGCGAACCCATGACTGCCGTGAGCGAATCTGTTGCCGGAGAGAGCTGAGACCGTCGTCGATTGTTGCGTAAGAGAAGGTGAATGTTTGGTTTTTTTATTTATTTCTTATTTCTTGGGATTTGTTTGGTGGGGGGAGTGTGGAGAGCATACGGGACTGTAGAACACAAGATTCTCAATGGTCAGATCTCGCCACGTGGAGGAATACGATTCGAAGATCTTGCTTTGTAGGACTCAGCTTTGACTCATCATTAGAGTCTGTTCATTTATTAATGTTCCCATTGGTGCTCCATTACATTTCTTCAAAAGCCTAATGCAATATTATACTACTAGTACATACATAGGAACCATACATGAGTTATGTTGTTGCAAGATAACACAAAGCAGGAGGTCTGTTACCAAACCAGAATCCTCACCTTGCTCTGCTCCGAGGGGAATCAAAATTTTTAGTTTCTGGCTTATGTTCTAGACTCATAGTTAAACAGTCATCAACCAGTGAGAACTATTTTTCTTACAAGTATGCATGGATCTGAATACCTAATTATCTGACAGAGTTAAAAGATCTACAGAAATGTTGATGGAATAGTAGTCTCAGTAAAGACCTTTTGCACCCTACTGAATCCAAAGCTCTAGGGCACCCCAAGTATTTTTTGTGTTGGTTTATAAAGTACAATGGCTAATATAGTCTTCTCTTAATGCTCCACAGCTAAGTGATTAACAGTGTAACAACAACAACATTACTCTCTTTTATTTCTTCCTCTACTTGTCAAATCATCATCGGTAAGAAGCTTTGTTTTGGTCAAATGTACTGTTATATATCTAAAACTTTTATGAAAGAAAGAAAAAAAAGAATGGTACATAGAATCTCACGAATATTACTTACTTCTCCATAGAAATGAAAATGAGGAAGAGGAAGAAAGAGACAAGATCGGATTCTGACGAGAGTAAAAAACAAGAAAATACCCACAAGACTAAACAGAGCCTAGACGTCATTGACTCTGCCAATGGTACTACTACTACTCTCTTGTCCAAAACCCAATTTTCATTATTGGTACGTTCTTCTCTCCCACACCCCCACCGGTTTATTATATAATTTGAGTGAATGTTTTGGGTAAAAGATAAGTCAATGGGAGGCTCCGAGAGAAACGAGAGTTTACTGGTTTTAGAATAGGGAGACAGTAATAAATGGTTTTAGTAGGAGAGTAACTTTATTTTTATTAATATTTGTGACTTCATCAAAAAGATAAAATAGTAAATGTAGAAACATTTATATATGAGGAGGAGAGGAAGATGTTTCTTTCAAGCAAAGCTTTTCTTTTTAATGCTCTTCTGAATTATAAATAAAAACTTAATAATACTGCAGAAAAACTTATTTTGTTTTTTCTTTATATATCATTAAATAGGGATACTATTAGAATTCACTCATTTAAAAAAAAAAAATGATGTGATATTTTTCAATTAATAAAAATGGGAGATTTTTAAATTCGCTTTCAATCAACATCACATCAGCTTCAGGGCAGAAGCCTCAGCCAGCCAGACTATTACCTGTTTTATGGTAACTATATTTCAATTTAATAAAAAAATTAACTTTGAAAATTCGTTAATTTAATAAATAAAAATACTCAACTGTGAAAATTAACACAGCTAAGGCTATATCGGCTTTTGACATTTTACAGGAGAGAAGGAGAGGAATTAAAAAATATATGTATCGGTTCAACAATACATCATGATTCATGAGTATATCCAATATAGTCTTGATCTTGAACACTAATTAGTAATTACAAGTTTGACTAACTTAAAAATAAGCTTTAATGATTATGCTATTAATTAATAAGTATATTTTCAGAAAGAAATAGAGTAAATTTTCGAAACTTTTTAAATATTATATAATATATACTATCTGTTATGCATGGGGAAAAAAAATAAAAACTCAGAGTGGCAGTGGTCGAGAGGCCATTTTCAACTTTGGCAGACAGTAAAACAAGATAGAAATGACACTCTCTGTATCTGAAATTATCCAGGCTCTGCATTACATAATTACATATATATATGCATTACAAAATTATATTCACATTTATTCCATGCATATATCGTCGTAAGATAAAATATGTGTTTTTACTAATAACAATAATGTGTTTCAGTCGTGTATCTAAATTATGGAAGACACTCGAGACTTTCGAACACGTTTAGTCCCCACATTTTTTTTTTAACTTTTAAGCTAGCCGACTAGAAAACTATTACATCAAAGTAGGGTTTTCTTAAATCTAATCTGTATGGTTTGTTCATTGTTTTATGACGATGTTCTTGTCGGATCATTATTATGTTCGTTTTGTAGTTACGGGGAAGATTAGATCGGAAAATAAAAAAAGACTTTACGCAAGCTTTATACGATGATTTTTAGCTGATGCATGCAACTTATTACGTACTACTCTAAGTTGATTCCAAATTTGTGTTGTACATAACTACTTCATCGATGAAATTACTGGGAATAGACAGTGAGACTCAATGCTGTGCATGTTCAGCTTATGTGATCTACTCTAAACTTGCATTGGTTTGATATCGCAAAGTTCAAACTTACATAGCACTAGTAACTTCTTCCAACTTTTGTATTCTAACATTTGGATACTGATTAGAAAAATGTTTAAAAAGTCATGGAATAACTCGTTATGGACTTTTTTATATGTCAAGAAACAACTTATTCTCTATACAGTATATTCTACTAATTTAGCCAATTTTTATTTACCTACGATTTGATTGGCATTCTCATCGTACTAACGTGAAATTGACGCGTGAAACATCAATGAGAATTCACTTCATTAGCGCACTAATTATGAAAGTTGGAAGAGTTAAAAGTATGGAAATATTTCACGAATGTTTCAAAACAACACGACACAAGTGATAGCAAATTTGTAGTAATTATGTAACATACCAAAAGAGATAAAGAGTGTAATAATAACAATAGATTTTGTGTCGGGTCACTGGGAAACTAGAATCCCCTTCATTAGTGCATAATGAAAGTTGAAAGAGTTATAACTATATATGGAAATGTTCACGAATGCTTCAAAACTACACAACACAAGAATATCAAATTAGTAAATACACATTCCAAAATATAAAAGAGTTATAATAACAAGAGATTTTAACAAATTAAATATTGGAAAAAAAAACCGTAGTTGTGTGTGTTGGTGATTGGGAAACTAGAATCCCCTTCATTAGTGCACTAATGAAAGCTGAAAGAGTTATAACTATGGAAATATACACAAATGTTTCAAAACTACACTACACAAAGATATCAAATTAGTAAATACACATACCAAAAGAGCAAAGTGTATTAATAACAACAGATTATTTTGTGTATGTGCTGGTGATTGGGAAACTTGAATCCTCTCCTTCATTAGCGCATAATGAAAGCTAAACGAGTTATGTTTATGGAAATGTCAAGAGTGTTTCAAAACTACACTACACAAAAGATATCAAACTAGTAAATACACATACCAAAAGAGAACATTGTAATAACAACAACAGATCTCTTATTGTGTGTCGGGTCACTAGGAAACTAGAATTCCCCTTCATTAGCGCATAATGAAAGCTAAACGAGTTATGTTTATGGAAATGTTCAAAGAGTGTTTCAAAACCAAATGACACAAACAAAGACAGCTAAATGTAACAATTACCAAAAGAGCAAAGCGTGTAATAATAGTAATAACAAAAGATTTTTAAATAAAGAAAAATAAGTTTCAAAAGGTGGTACGTGGGTGTGTGTGTTGGTTATTGGGAAACTAAAATCCCACCCTCTCAGACGCAATTCATTTAACTCTTTTTATTATTATCAATAAATCTCAAAATCTCTTCTCTGATTCTTCTCTCTCTTTCTCTGTCTCTGTCTCTATGTCTTTGGTCTATATATATAATTCGTATTTGTTTTATATCAAATGATGAATCCTACAGCCGTACTGATTCGCCATCTTTTCACCTCTTTAATGAGTTTTTCTTTTCTCCCTTTTTTATTAACTTCACTTTCTTTCTTCTTCCTCTTCTGAAAACCCAACTCTAGAAGAAAGCTCAGTTCTTTCTTTACTTTTTTTTTCTGATTTTGTTGGTGTTGTCTTCTTCTACTACTTCTTCTTTAACAATGCAGAGCAGCTTCAAGACCGTTCCTTTCAACCCTGATTTCTACTCTCAGTCCTCTTACTTCTTCAGGTAAACATCTTCCCCTCCACAAATCTTTAAAGCACAAAAACAAAAAACAAAAACTAATCTTTTTTGTTGTTTCTCTGTTTTGAAAACAGAGGAGATAGTTGTCTTGAAGATTTTCATCAACCAGTCAATGGGTTTCACCATGATGAACCTATCGATTTAAGTCCAAGTCAGCTTCTTTTTTCCTCATCTTACTTTACATACATACATACACAAGTACAAAAAGGCTTAAGCTTTGTTGCAGGAATCTCAAGTAGGTTCCATTTTTTTTCTTGCAGATGTCACTATTGCTTCGGCCAACTTACACTACACGACGTTTGATACGGTACAAATTTGATTCCATTTCACCAAACCCAAATTTTTATTATATGAAAAAGAGTTAAAAAAGAGTTCTTTTTTTATTTGTAGGTAATGGAGTGTGGTGGCTTGAGGGAGAGGCTTGAAAGAGAAGATGAGTGTTTGGATACAGAGCAGTTAGTGTACCAGAAAGAGACAAGGTTAGTAGGAGGAGGAGGAGGAGGAGGAGGAGGAGGTGAAGTGAACATCAGTTTAGAGAATTGGTGTGATTCGGTTTCAGCTATGGCTGATAACAGTCAACATACTGACACTTCCACAGATATTGATACTGATGACAAGACTCAGGTTTTGTTCCTTTGTCTTCTTCGTTAAATCATCACTAAAAATAAGATGAAAAGATTCTGTTTTTTTTTTTTCTTTTCTTTCTTGTATCCTTTTTCAATTTCTGTCTGTTTCTTCACTTGGAGTTTTGTTTTGTCCCTTTTGGTTTTTATAATTTCCTCATTGATATGTCACCTTGGAATTCGATCAATATTGTTTGCTCAGATTGTGTCTGCTTCAGTAAGAGCTGAGCTTGTCTGTTTTTTTTTTTGGTTTTTGGGTCTAATGGGACACACCATGGATGATTGGTTTGTTGTAACTTTTGCTACTACTCAATTTACAAAGTTCATGTAAAGTTTCCTCTTTTTTGTGAGTATGATATGAACTTTACTGGCCCATGGCTTTAAAAAATGTAGTTGCTTTAAGTTTCTTGCTTTTTATTGATATAAAATATGGAATTAAGACTATTCAGTGGCCCATGGCTTTGAAAAATGGAATTGCTTGTAAAGTTTTAATGCTTTTTACTTGTATAATATGATTTCACTGGCTCTCAGTTACATTGCTGCATATTGATTGTTTGTGACTTCGTGTTATATAGTTAAATGGAGTTCGACAAGGGATGGTTTTGGCTACAAATTGTTCAGATCAATCCAAGGTGAAATCTAGTGAACAAAGGGTAGATCTTCTGAATGAGTCATTTGAGTTTTGGATCTTTTTTTTTTTTTGTTCATGGATGAATGAGAGCATTGACATTTCGAATTCTTGGCAGACACTTCGTCGACTAGCTCAGAACCGGGAAGCTGCTAGGAAAAGTCGACTAAGGAAAAAAGTATAGTGTTGCTGATTTATGAAACTGTGTTTTTTTTTGGTCTTCCAATGTCTTTGTATTGACTTTATACTTTGAATTGCATTGTATCTTAATAGGCATATGTTCAGCAACTTGAGAATAGTCGAATCAGGCTTGCGCAGCTGGAAGAAGAGCTTAAACGAGTTCGCCAACAGGTCTGAAACTGATGAATATTTAACACTTTTGACTTCTTGAAATGTCCTGTAAGCTTCAAGTTGTATTGATTAGTATTAATGGGGTTTTTCTTGTATGCAGGGAAATTTGGCTGAGAGTGGAGTTACAGCGGATCACACGCATTTGGCAGCTGGAAATGGTAAAGACTTTTCAGAATCCCACATAACACCTTCTTGGCTTCTTTGGTAACATGGAGTGATTTTACTAAGGATGAAGTTTGGTTTTTTGATGTTGTAGGTGCCTTTTCATTTGAATTGGAATATACACGTTGGAAAGAGGAACATCAAAGACTGATCAACGACTTAAGATCGGGTGTGAATTCACAGTTAGGTGACAACGAGCTTCGCGTGCTAGTCGATGCTGTCATGAGTCACTACGATGAAATATTCAGGCTAAAGGGCATTGGCACTAAAGTTGATGTCTTTCATATGCTCTCAGGCATGTGGAAAACACCTGCTGAGAGGTTTTTCATGTGGTTAGGTGGATTTAGATCATCTGAGCTACTTAAGGTAAAAAAAAGAAAAGGTTCAAAACATTTTTTTCACATATCATTGGTTTTGATCATTTTTTTCATAATTGGTTACTATGTTGTTAGATATTGGGGAACCATGTGGATCCATTGACTGATCAGCAGTTGATAGGCATTTGCAACCTTCAACAGTCATCTCAGCAAGCAGAAGATGCATTGTCACAAGGCATGGAAGCTCTGCAACAATCGCTTCTCGAGACTCTTTCCTCTGCTTCAATGGGTCCAAACTCTTCAGCAAATGTTGCAGACTATATGGGTCATATGGCTATGGCCATGGGAAAACTTGGCACTCTCGAAAACTTCCTTCGCCAGGTAAAAAAACACAAAGCCTCTCTCTCTTTCTTGACAACAACAACAATTGTTATTACAAATCAAGAACCTGAAAATGGTAATTATTACATCTTTGCAGGCAGATCTATTAAGGCAACAAACTCTGCAACAGCTACATAGAATTCTCACCACACGGCAAGCTGCTCGCGCCTTTTTGGTCATCCACGACTATATTTCTCGGCTTAGAGCACTTAGCTCACTATGGTTAGCCCGACCTAGAGACTAGAGAAGCCTGTCATGAGTCACCAAAGGAAAAGCATAGTTCTGGTCTTAGTTTTTTCACAGTAATATATTTTTAACTAAAAGACCAAAAGCTCTCTTCCTCTTTAGCATCTTAGATCATCTGTTTATTTAGTCGGTAGTGAAACGTTACTATTCAGAATCAATCAATCAACGTTTTTTGTCTTTTTTTTATATATATTTTACTTTCCCTAAACTAAACTGAGAAACACAAGATGCTTACAAGATCTACATAAAAGTTAATGGCAACATTGTATAAAACATCAGCGAACCATGCCAGGTACAACTATAGGAGGAGTTACTTTCTCTCGGCTCCATTTCTCTACATTCGAAGGCCAACCTGAAAATCACCAAAAACAATAAAACATATTCTGTGAATCTTGTGGAACCTTAACCTTTATGTTTGTTTCTCAAGCTTTGTTATATAAAAGTTGTGGTTAAAAGTGTTTAGATGAATACCAATGGAAGGGTCAGCGCCGCGGTTCTTGAGCTCTCTAGATTCTTGACAAATAGCGCAATGGGTGCAAAAGATATGAACCCAAAAGTCACGGCATGGTTCCTCAGGCAATGCGAAATGTTCCCTAAGCCTGGTCCGGCTAGGGAACGCGTAAAGCCAACAACAACCAACAAAGCCTAACGCTAGATGAATCATACCTGCGTTCATACAAGCTGCATTTCCAATTTTTAGGATTCTGTTTTACACAAACTAGAGAAAAATGGAAAATTATGGTGTTTCTTCTTACGTATGGTTCCTCTGTTTACGATCTCTACGTTTTGAGCAAAGGAGACACATGGCATTATAGCTGTCTGAACACCTTTTTATGGATCCAAACAAAACAAAAACAAACCCATTTGATATGAGACGACAACAACAAAGAAGAAAGAAAGAAAGATGAATCAAACATGAAAGAGATACGTACAAATGTGAGCATCTTCGTGACAATCGCAAAGACCGGTGGTCCATAGTCCCTGAGGAAGCTGTTCGGCGTACGGTTGATCCCTAAACGACGTCGCCTCTGCCTTAAACACCGGATCATTCCCGTACATTTTTCAGGTTTATTAATAAACAATTTTTTAGCAGAAGAAAATATAATGCGTTTTCTCAAGAGTGGTGAGAAAATTATGGAAGAAAAAAATTATACTTGTTTTCGAATGGAGCTGGACATACGAACCAAAAAGAAACCTTCAACACCAAGATACTAAGATAGAGAGAAGATTCAAGCGTCAAAATTGTTGGTGAGAAACTTATATAGATGAAGATGCTATCAAATGGTTGATAATGATTTATCTAAATGTAGTAGTAGCTTTATAGTGTAAATATATGTAACTAGTTGTTGTAATAATAATACAAAAATAGAAAATTGTTGTTGGATAGAGATAGTTTGACCATATTTTAGACTCCCAAAAATAAGAAAATGTTATCCACATTATAATTGAGTTGACCAGCCAAAGTCAAATCTTGAGATTTTAGGACAAGAGCTTAAAGTTATCTTTGTACAACATCAGTTTGCTTCTACAAGGTTCTAGAGAAAGTATATGCTTCTAGAAAGAAAAAAAGTAGAATTAGGGGAGTATAAAAAGTGGAAAGAAACGTAAAGATTTGGTTCTTAGTGGTGGATGAGTGAGACACTTTCACTTTTTGATTCTTGTCAATGAAAGTGGTTTATGCCCAAACACATATACTAAAACTTAGAAATGAAACAGAGAGAACCTTCAGTAGATTGAAGGCTTTCGAGAAATATGGTTTACTCCATTTGAATATTCAAAATGATTTAGAGGAAAAAGAATAGTGTTAATCTTGATGCGTTTTTTATTATAATTTCCAACGAGTAAAACTGTGATTTATATGATTTCAAAACAAATGAGAGAGATGAGAAAATAGTCTAAATTCTGTAAACAAAATAGTCAAATATATAAACCATGAAAGATTTCTTTACTCTATGTAAATGAAAGGTAAACTAATTAAGCCCTAAGACATAATTACCAATTTCTTAATCATAATTAATCCTAACTTATAACACATTAACACCTAAATCTTTAATCATAAGGACCTAAACAAAATGGTATATTTTATATTTGTCCCACCAATATAATTTCAACATTTCCATTATATATCTAAGAGAAAAGAATGCTCAGAGCAGAAGAAGAAATGGTCAACGTACGTTTTAGTGTCTTACATTGATAATGCTGGTTTGCCAAAAGTCACCAATGATAATAATTTCTGATTTGTATTTAGAAAGAACAAGAAAATGAGGTTGCCTTCAAAACGAACCACGAACTAGTAGTCTTTTTGTCTACAATTTGTCCCCCACTAAAACTGTCTGATAAATTCTAAAGAGTAAAGACATTACTATTTGAGCTAATCATAGTTGTTACATTCTTCCAACTTCAATTCCAAAACCTAACCTTTTAACAAAACCAAAAACTTTGATCTCATATCTTCAATGCTTACAAACCTAGAAACGTTACTAGAAAGTATCGCCCGGATTCATCAATCCAAGCCACGCTGCTCTATTTTATAGTATGTTTATCTATTTGTTGAAGGTCTATTAAAAGATAACTAAAACAACTTTGATTTTTCAAAATTCATACTAAAAGATAACTTTCGTAAGCGAATTATATATTGATATGATGATATGTCATAAGGAACGACCTTCATTAAATTATTATTTTTATTGACTAGATGATAATCATATTAATTCCTAAACTTACATCTTTTAGGAATCACTTAAAGACTATAGTAGCTATTTGATATACACCAACACAGATACATTTTTTGTGTACGTGTGATACAAACACATAAGAGCAATATAAAAATTTATACAAAAGACAGAACTAGTTAAAGGGTTCATAGTGGTGAATAAAAGCGTCGATGTGGCACAACATCTCTACAGTTTTGGTGTGCGCAAGCTGCTGAGACTTCCCGAGAACATAAAACGCGTGGCCGACGCCTTCATACAACACGCGCTTGATCACTTCCTCGTTACCGTCGCACATCTCCATGTTTCTGTCCATCAGCGGATCCATCTCCGCTACGCAAACCAGCGTCCTCATCACCGTCGACGACTTGGGCTTCACCGGTTTACAATAGGGGTGCTCTCTGTCTGCACCACGTGGCAAAGACATCCTCCACCACGTGTCCGAAGACGACAGTGTCAGCATCGATTTGTTCCCCACGCGCCTCTCGCTCTCAGTACGCGCTTCCCCGCCGAAGAAAGGCTGGATCAGGATGGTTCCTTGTATCTCCAGTGGCTTTAGCTCGGTGGATGCTAATCTTGCTGCGACGTGGTGCGCGATGTTGCCTCCAGCGCTGTCTCCGGCCAAGAAGATCTTGTCAAAGTCACATAGCTTGGCCCACAAGTTACCGTTTCTTGCTTTCTTGAGCCAAAGAATGGCATTGACCCCGTCTTCATAAGCTGCCGGAAGAGGGTTCTCAGGAGCTAGACGGTAATTTACAGACAGGACCAAGCACTGTGTGCGAGCGGACAATCTAGCCACGAACTCGTGGTAACACGACCAAGAAGCCGAGCCGATGCAGAATCCTCCACCGTGGAAGTAGACAATCAAAGGTAGCTTAGAGACGGACGACTTGGTTGACGCTGTCATCATCGGGACATAGAGACGTCCCCATACGTTGGTCAACTTGTCTAGGACAACATCGGAGCAAGCCACGCCGAGCTCGAGGGGTAGCGAGGTATCCACACATGGCACGACTGAACATCGTTCCACGTGGCCGTCTTTGTAAACTCTAATAAGCCCTTCTACTTCGTCAACGACCGGTCCATGAATGATGGTGTTATTAGGGTGGTTAACGGTGGTCACATGAGTCAATGTAGTGGCTCCCATAATTTTGATCTTTTTTTATGTATGATTTGTGCAAGTCTCGTTACCAAAGAGAGCTTTTCTATAAGAGAGATTTGGGAAATTGATGTATATGGAGACTTGTTATATAGGGGAAGGGGATGTATAATGGAGGGTGATGGAGACGGGTAAGGTCGAAAATTTTTCAATTATAAGTTTTCATCAATAATTGAAATCTAACTAAATTTGTGTGCTACTTAATTCTTTGTTATTTTTTATGTAATTAGATGTCTAGGACCAGAAGATACCACGTCAATTTCTACAATATGAAGATTTATTCAACAGTTCCATAAGATCTATAGTCACAATATAATTAGAGAGTATTGTCGTCACTGGTGGTATTATAGAAACGTGTGAATAAGACTTAAAAAATAGTTGTTCTTATCCAATGAGGGTGGGAGGCAAAATTCACCGTGACTATTTCGTCGTGAGCTTGTCGATGGACAGTAGTGATATTTATTATTTATTTCTCTTAAAACTTCTCCAGTCACCAAATCGTATTGTTGTTATAAATAAATATACATCGGAAAGAAGAAAGTGGCACGTGGACATGAAAAAGATTGTGGTGGTGGGGGTGATAGTCTTCTATTTTTCAACGGCATAGGAGTCAGACGAAGTATGGGATTGGTTGTGAAAGGTTTTGTCAAAATGCACTTACCAAAAAGATGCATTTGCCTACTTTTAGTTCTACATTGTTCATGCACCAATCTTTTCGTTTCCTTTTTGTTAATTTTATTATGTGCGTAAAGGAAACTTTTCAACATGCTTTCTTTGTTTAAATGAAAACATTTCATATAGCTCTATGGTGATCACAGTTTTAATATAGCTAAAATCATATCGGTATATGACGACGTTGGAAACATAAATAGGGAATTTATAAGTTTAAAAATCTGTTGAAATATCCATAATGTAACAACAACTTCAAGGTAGATAGGACGTGGTTGATGTTATCTTTGGATTGGCAGCGGGCATCTTTGATAAATCTCTTCTTCAGGAGTTTCAGTAGATGATTTCTTCCTACTTCCTAAAACTAATGTGTTTTATAAGGGTTAAACCTAGTTGTCTGTGTTTTTTCGTTTAAGGGTTCGTCTATTTTTGGGTTTACATTTTCTGCTGTGTGTTGCTATTTTTTGTTTTTGATTTATGTTTCCGGAGATTTTTATTGTTCTTCGGCTTTGTTTCCCTTGTTTGGGTTTTAGACTCTGAGATATTTTTGTTTTCCGCCGGCTTAAGTTGTATTTTACAATGTGTCTTTTGAATTTTATTAATATTACCGGATGACAAAAAAAAAAAAAAAAAATTTCAAGCTAGATAATTTATTGTTATTGGTTGAAATTAGTTATTATGAAAAGTATGGTATGGCAGGTGGTTAAATTTGATTGGTAATTACTGTGTTAAGAGCAAGTCAAATAATGGGCAAGTAGGAGGGAGCTTAGGTGGGATATATAGTGTGTAATAAGAGGATGATATTGTTGACAAAAGTGGAACAAAACCCATTTTCATGTCTGATGAGTTTCATTTCTTGGTCGTATATCAGTAAGTTCTCAAACATAATAATGGTGTCCACTCGCTTCTGGTCTGCTCCATATGCCAAGTGCCAACACTGCACGATGTATAACAGTCGGCTTGAATAATAACTTATAACCATTCCACTTATACATGTTAACTAATCACTTGTAATAAACATTCAATTTCTTGGAGTGATAACACCAACTAGTAGGGTAGTTTATTTGCAACCTTGAGATTGTTAAGATTAATCTCTAAAGTTTAAGATTCGTTTAGTGTACCTAAATATACATTATAGAGAAAGAATGATCCCATGTTTGTTCCTTTTGTACTTTTTGATAGATTCCGTAGAAAAGAATAATGAGGAAGACACCACAAGGACACAACACACGTAGAGAACATTAATTATTAATTCGCAAATTATTCAACACAACAAATGAGAGACAAAACATTGTAGGAATAAGAATAACGTCACGGGATACAAACAACTAAATTAGATATGCATAGTTTCTAGAAGATGTGTAACTTATGTTAGATGATACATAGATAATAAACCAATCTAATTCAATCTAGACATGGGCGCTTGAAGCGATGGAGGAGCAAAAGGCGCGGACGCAGATGCAGCCAGTCGTGCCTGTTTCTCCATATTACCGTGCCACCCGAGGGACAAGTCTAAGGCCTTGTTGTGTTGAAGTTGCCTGTACTCTTGACAAAGAGCGCATGGCTCGCAGCAAAAGTGGACACAACAGTCACAACATGGTCTCTCCTTGAGATTGTATTGGGCTCTTAGTTTTGTTCGGTAAAAGCAAGAGTAGAGACTGCTTCCTCCGAACCCTGTCAGCATAAATATGACCATGTACATCGCTCCGCTCACACCACACGATGTGGATCCTCTGTCTACAACCTCAGCGATGCGTCCAAAGGCAACACATGGACACCAACAAGTCAAGCAACATGAGTTTATGTCCATACAACATTCGCACAAATCACTCGACCAAGCGTTGGCCTTGACACGGCCTTGGCTTGGTTGATCGTTGTTGGAGGAAGTGTTCATTGTGTGATCTCTGTTTTACTTTCTTGTGATTCTCTTGTCGAGTTTTTAGTTATATACTTATAGTTATGTAATGTTAAGATACCTTTTCATAGACTAACCGTCAGAAACTGCAAGGGAGCACGTAGGGACGCCTCGTTTCATTTTGCTTGGTTTTTTTTTTCACTGCCTTTTAGTTATTTTAAACCAAATTGGCCATAAGTTGTGAACTCATTTGTTTACTAAAAATAGGCCATGAATGTTCGTAGTATATATATGAAGTGGTTTATGGTTTTTTTGTTTTTTTTTTTTCTTTATTACTGGTCTAGATTTCAGTTTTTTATTTATTCAATAATTAGTAAAATATTTGAAGGTTCCGTAATATTTGGAAAAAAAAAATCTTGGTTTACATGTTTGATTTTTAAAATCGAAAACCAAATCATGTGACTTTGATATGTTGCCGAAGTTGTTTTTTCCTATCACAATCAAAATGATTGTACATTATAATAATGTAATTTTTTTATATTAATTATTATACTTTCAAATCACTTACAACATTCACAATAAGGTGGCATCACTTTAGGATCACATCTTTCACACACGTTCACACCTTAGGAATCTGATCGACAGGATCTTTGAAGCCAGCTTTTGTGCTAAGCTCCTCAAAGGCATTGACAATGTTCTGCAGCCTTGCAACAAACTCTATCAGGAGGGAAGCAAACGTAGCTAGGGACAAAGAACTTGCACTTTCGTATACTTTACATTCGATCTCATTTGCCACAGTACCGTCAATGAAGGACATGCTTGGCCACATCTCCCGGTTCTTGAACATCATACTCTCTGTTGACCCCCAATTCTGAGAGTGGTCATTACTCTGATGATTGTTGTTGTTGTCCCAAATCTGGCTTAAGGATTTGATCACTTTGGTCTCGTCGTCTTTGGCTTCTTGGTCATTTTCTCGAGCTTCTTCCGCTTCAGCTTGCTCTTTAATAGCTGCCCAGCTTTCTGAGTTGACAAGAAGGTAGGATTTATTGTCTATCTTCATTTGTAGTGCCTCAGCTGCACGTTGAACGTCTTTCAAAATCTCTCCGAGGCTTAGGCTTAACTTCTCCATTTTCTCAACTTTTTCTCCAACCAAACGTAACACTTTTGCTCCTTCGTTACCAACTCTACGAAGCTCGTTACTAAAAACCTGTCTCTTCTCTGGAGCTGCCTGCCATATATATATATCACACAACTCCCATAATGTGATCATATTATTTAACCAAAGTAACAAAACAATTATATTCTCAAACAACATAGTAAAGTCACATGAAAAAATCTTGGTTTAATGAAACAGTGTATAATAAGGAACCTGTATCTCTGAAAGAATGCATCCATGCATTGCCATGACAGTGAAAGCACAATGCCTTACTGCACCACTGAGTTTGACATAGTTTTTCCAAGGATGATTAAACGTTTTATAAGGTCCATGAGGAGGCTCCCATATAGCAAAATCAAGCTGCCAAAAACAGAGGTCTTAAGTCTATGAATATCACATAAATCTTTGATATTTGCAAAAACATTACCAAAGAATCTTCTTGGCTTGTGGATTGAACAGCGGATCTGTAACCGCTGTATAATGGATCATCTGAAGCTTGGTACGTGAGAATCTTCGAAGGTATTCTCTCGTACTCCACACATTGTAAGTAACCATTAACACATCCTAAAAGATATAAAACAAACTTGAAATAAGGGACATAGAAATAATTAGCTAACCATGTAATGACAATGACAGATTATGTTATATCTCTAACCTTCTAGGGAATTTGCCACAGTCTTGAAATTTTTCGCCACTAGTTTATGGAGATCTTCCCCGGCCCATATCGGAAATAGAAATACATTCACAACCAAGCAAATGGTTGCACCAAGAGCAATAAGCAAGATCCTGTAATAAGCAGTGCTTAAGAAATCTCTTGAGTTGTTTCCGGAAACAAGAACGATACAATATGTCAACTTGAACACCCTGAATGCGTATTCGTATGGTTTCATGACCGCGTAGAGTTTCAAATAACTAGCACCAAAACCTGATATAGACACACAAAGGTTAATTAGTATTCTCATTTTTGTGTTTGTAATGCAATTGTGGCGGTATAAGGGAAATATGTTGCATAACACCTGCAAGGAATATACAGATTACAATGATGACTTCTTCAAACTCTCCTGCTAAAAGAGAGAGCTGCGCGACGCCAAGAGCAAGTCCCCCAGCTAACATTGTTCCTAAAGCTCTATTGAACCCTTTAACCAAAGTTGCTCCTACATGTTGAACATAAGAGTGAGTAAAAAAGTATAAGAATTTATCCGAAACAGTAAAATGAAAGTCAATAAGTAAACCGGAACAGAGCAAACAGAAAAAGATTGAATTCAGACTATGGATTAAAAGGATCTTTACTAGATATGGTTAAGTGTTTTGAGTTCAAGATTCCAATAAAACATATGACTAAAGGAGCCAATCATAAATAAGGCTGAAACAGAGTTAGGAAGCAATACCAACGTAATACTCGAAAATGAGAACAACAGTGAGGATAGCCCAAACAGCAAATTTACTAGCATCTTGAAGTGGCTCTTTGAGGAAGATGAGAAAAGAACAGAGAGCAAGAGCAAAACCCATCTTGAAAGAGAAGTAAAGCTTCCGACGATCAGAATGTCCCAACGCGTACAGCTTAGCCGGAGCCTCGTAGAGAGCCCTCCACGAGCAACACCGGAACTTGGAGTCACGACCATCGGCGGCTACTACTACGTCGCTTGACTGCCACAGAAGCTTCTCTCTGTTTTGCTCCGGGAGTGATGATCCCATTTGGCCTCCCATTAATTTTGTTCGATTATTTCTTACAAATCCACAGAACCTGAGAGATTCTTGTCGTCCTTACAAAATATATATAGATGTAAAATATATATTGTATTTATCAGGATATGTTTTGTACTACACAATCAATGCATGCCTTTGGTTCATCATCTCAACTAGTCAGCTACATAATAGTTTTGATTGATGATATGTTTTTGTTTTTATAATAATTTATTAATTTTGGTTGAAATCTAATGATTAACTTATTAACCTAACCACCAAACGTGTCCAAAAAGACTGTTAGAAGTCGATTTTAAAACGTGAGGATAAAACTCTTGTAATGTTATGAATGGACAAGTACTGTGACTTTTTATGTGACTCATTGTATCTTTTTATGTTTATATAATTGATTACTTTGGTTCTAATCTCCACGTTTTTAACTAAAAGGTGCAATTTGCATTTTTTTGGTTTAGCTACATAATAATGATACGTGAACGAGTAAAAATGTCCGAAGAATAAGAACAGATTGGATAAACAACCTGAGAATTAAATTTTCGTGGACATGTGTAAATGTAAAAATGGACCAATAATAATACGAAACTTAAAATAGTTGAAGACTAATAATTTATGAGGCTCGGAGTTTTGGGAAAGAATCTCAAAGGAGAAGACAAGTTTCATGATCGTCGTGACTCTTGTGAGTGTGACATTTTGAAAGACATAGAAACTTACTACCGCATCGCATCTCTCTACTACTCCTTTACTTATGCTCAAAAGCCAAAAGACTGTGCTCTGCCCCAAGTGTGTGTGTGTGTGTGTGTGCCCATCCTCACATGAGAATTGTCTTAATTTTTATAAACAATAATATAATCTATGGATTTGACTGACTTCGATTTTTCTCCATAATTATTGTATGCTCGATATAATATTAAAAATCATGATATCTATACAATGTAATAAGTATAATCAAAGTTTTGAATACGTTTTGGTCATGTAAAATCTGAATACGTTTTCAGCTTATTTGGGTTCATGGTGTCTTCTTTCTCCTCAAACCACTTTCTCATCTGGTTGGTCTCAGCAAACCTGTGAACAAATATATGAAGAAGAAGACCTTTGAAGATGAATCATGTGACATATCGTAAAAGCCAACTTCCCAAAAAAAAAAAAAAAAAAAAAGTTCTTCTAATTATAAAATAATACTGTAGAATATCTTGCAGTGTACAGTATCTTGATAATGATTATTTCTAAAGAGAACATCTGTACAATTAATAAACCATCACCAAAATATTTTATATTTTAATTCAATGAGAAAATGACTTACTTTCTTATAAATAACACAAAAAAATTATTATTTGACTTTTTTTTTATCAAATTATGGATTGAATAAACTAAAAAGAAGAGTTTTGTATATTTTATTGTATAAATACGTGGCTATCAAATATCTGATTCTAATTTACTATGATTTTGCTCAATAATTTTCATATTGAAAAATCAATATATCAAAAAATTTAAAAAATACAACCCCAATTTAGTTTGATGTTTGAATTGGGCTAAAAATACTCAGTTTTGGTGTATAAGCATGGGCTTCTTCTGTCAACTAGGCTTAATAAAAGATGATGGGCCAAGTCAGTAAAGCCCATTTATTTGCAAACCAATGCTCCGAACTACTTTGAAACTCTCACCCAAAACTATGACCATATCTTCCTTATCCACATTCTCACAAAATCTCTCCATTGCTCTCTGAGAAAACAAAAAATGATGTCATCAATGGCACTTTCATCTGCTTCACTCTGCTCTTCTTTCGTCTCCCAGCATCCCAAACTCTCCGTCACTGCATCTCCTCCATTGTTCACTTCCCAAACAGCCAAACCCATCTCTGTAAAACGTAAAATCGCAACTCTAGCAGCTCCAGAGGCACTTACAGCTGAAACAGTCCCCGGGATTGATACTTCAGACAGCACTCCACAACCAACATCTAAGGTAACAACAACGACAACAACACATTCTTATTCTTCTTCTTGTTCTTGTCTCTCGTGTTTCAAAACCAATGAATCTTTGTTGTTTGATGTTTTGTTTTTAGGTGGTGAAGCCAGATGAGAAGTCAAGAGTGGTTCTCAAGTTTGTGTGGATGGAGAAGAACATAGGATTAGGATTGGACCAACATGTACCTGGACATGGTACAATCCCACTTAGTCCTTACTTCTTCTGGCCTAGGAAAGATGCTTGGGAAGAGCTTAAGTCTACTCTTGAAGCTAAGCCATGGATCTCTCAGAAGAAGATGATCATTCTTCTTAACCAAGCCACTGACATCATCAATCTCTGGCAACAAAGTGGCGGCAATTTAACTTCTCAATAATCTCTATTTTGTTTCTGCATTTCAAGAATTCACTTTGTCTATGATTACTATTGCTATTGAGAGAGTTTTTTGTTTTGTTTATCTAAACAATATCCAATGATATTCGACTTACAAGATTCATTTTATTGCAAAGAGGATCATAACAAAAGCAAAATTTAGCACCACTGAGTTGTTGTTTCCTCATTTTCTGGAAGGACATATCAAACGCTTGATGGTTGAGATTTTGCAGAGAAGAGCTTCACCATATGATTTGGAGACTCTCCGGTCACCGCAATAAGTACATGTCAGTGTCACTTTCTTCTCCAGCACACTCACCAATATTGAGTACGTTTCTGTTGCAACAGAACAGACAAAGCAAGAAAAGAACTCATGATGAGAAAATAACAGAAAGTGTCTCATTTCCGAAGTGAGTAAAACTAGTTCTTACCGATCATCCTCGACATTATGTCCGCGACTTTCTCTTGGCAGTCACTACATCTGATATCTGCTGATAGAACAATCTCCTGAATCTGATAACAGACAAGATCACTGAAAGAATCCATATAGTTGAAAATATTCTAAGACAGAAGTGTTATAAGAGTAAAGTAACTAACGAGTGGCTTGGATAACGATGCTACAGAAGCGAGACTGGTTTCACTTGTTCTTGAAAGTTTGCTTCTTAGTGATGGTCCAAGTTCTTCCTCGACGATTTCAGACAGAGTAGCCATGACACACTCTCGTTGTACAAGGAAGAGAAACAAAATAGAAACAGTCCTGTTGTACAGAGAAGATATATAAAACAGGAATGAAGAGAGTGAAACGGAGAGTGAGAAACGAAGAGTGTCCTTGTCCGAAAAGGATGATTTTGCTTTAATCTATGGAGAAACTAAGTTTAAAGACTCAAGAGACATGTTAACACACAAGGCAGATATAATAGTCACATTGTTACCCAAAAAAAAAAAAGACAGATATAATAATATGCTTTGGATCCATGACTTAGTGCCAATTTTTTCTGAGTAACAAAGTCAAGACCTTTTGGTTCCTCTGTATTTTTTTTTCTCTCTGCATTGTTTGAAAAAGATGCCTCACTCACCAAAATGCAACCCCACCAAAATAACTCAAGTGGTGGATTGCTTCTGAGATCTGATTGAGTCTCAGAAAATTTATATAGTTCTTTACCTTTTTCTCCTTACCCCACCTTTGGTAAAGCCAATCATAGATTGATCAAAGGGGATATGAGGTTTAAAAGGGGTTTAAGAATAAGACAGACACTGGGTTTATTACAGACGCTCCTAAACTCTTGCACAGACTGTAAACTCTCAGTGAATAAATGTTGGAAATAATAAAGCTAGCTAGTTGGATTCCCTTATGGTCCCAGTTTCCAAGAAACATCAATTGTTACCAGCTACAAAGTAATAACTTACGACCAGAGAGCAACAATTTCATTTGTTGGTCCCGTTTGGTTGCTGCACAAAACAAAAACCTTATGGGACATGACAACGACTGAGTTATCTTGCATAGCATTAAGATAATCAAGTGTCCCTCAACTTCTGTGTATCAAACTATTCAGCAGCTATTGAGATTTTGCTCAAGGTAAGAAAAATAAATGTATCTTATGGACCACTGAAAAGATGAAAACAAGATAGTTTTATTTGATGATACATAGGGTTACATGAAAAGAGAGATCCCATCAGACCTAAGAAAACAAATCATCTCTATGCTAAAGAGAGATGGAAAAAGATAACTTGATTCTAAGAAAATTCCACTAATTAATGCCTAAACCACCAGCGAGGTAATGCTATTACCTACTTCTACTGCACCCAAAATTTGCCCCCTCTATGCCCTACTGTTACAAAATAAGTACACAACGAATTTGGATGCCATGACAAGCTAATCTATAATCCATCCCAAGGACTCTTGCGAGTACAATTATATAAAAACCCAAAATCGCATTGAGCAGATGCCCATCAGGTGATATGTACCTCACAAGAAGACATGTAACTTCATACGCAAGCTGATTAACTCGACATTAATAGACCAGTCAAAGGCTGCCCTACCGAAGGACCAAATGCATCTTCCATGAACTTACAGTTCTCACAATCCAAAGATCTTTCACTAGAGAAACCATCAGTCAAGCTAGGATCGTGTGGACAACAACTGACAACTCGATTCCTCTTCCTCGATTTTTTCCACTTTAAGTCAGAAGTAACAAGGACATCTGTTAGAAGATCTGGAATTGGTCGCTTAGGTAATGACTTTTTGGTTGTAGCTGCTGGAAGAGAGATGTTGCGTTTAGCCTCCCAATTTGGGGACATCCCGTCGTTACCAACACCAACTTCAGATGGCTTCACAACAGTTTTCACTTCCATCTCTTTTTTCTTGATCAAAGATAGGACAGAACTCACGAGATCAGATCTTGATCTTAAGTTAACCCACTCACCTTCCAACCATTCTCGAGATTGTCTAAGCTCCCTACAATGGAAAGCAGACAATTTCTTTTCGCCTGAAAGAAAACACCCAAAACAACAAATTTAGTCAAACAAAATGAAGATAGAACTCCAACAAATCTGCGATTAAAAAAAAATCCATTCAGAGGTGTCCTAATTCACCTGGCAGATAAACTTCGAAGTTCTCTTCAGAAACTTTCTGCACCACAATCCCTTCCCACCATCCATCACACCACCACACGTCCACAGGCATTCCAACACCAACAGCCCATACATCATTTTCTTTACTGGGCTCCTGCACTGGACGTACTACTTTCCGTCCTTTGATTCTAAGACCCCGCAGATTATCACCAGCAACAATTCGAGATGTCAAAATCCACTCCTGCAACCAAACAATGGGACATGTTAACAAACTGGACAGTAGAAACAAAACCAAAGGGTGGGTTTTAAAATGCGTACCTCTAGCTTTTTAGATTGATCATCTGCATCTTGAATATCTTGGTACTGGACCTTAACCTTATCCTTGTGTTTCTTTAATACCAGTGCCCTAAACCAACAACCTCTGATGCCACTATCTTCGGAAAGAACTTCAACATGGGAACCCTTTTTAATCTGATGGGAAGAACTATCTTCTGTGGCCTTGCACATAGAAGCATCTGAAGCACCCAAAACAGAATCGGGGCTAGATTTGCAATCACCTTTCATGTCTATTGCAGTTGGTACATCCAACGTACCAACAGGACTAGTACGGCGCCTTTTCCTTGATCTTATCCCAACACAACCCACTAAAGGAGCTCCTAATCCCAGGTCATTAACAGGTCCTTGAGCACCCTCACCCGATTTTAAAATGGATACATTCAAGTATCTAAACATTTTTTGTCTCCAGTAACCTTCTAATTGTGTAATGTCATACGGCTTTATGGCATCATCTCCATATAATTTCTGGCAGAAGAAAGCTACTGGCTGAGCATGCATTGGTACCTTAAGAAATTTCTCATAATGCTGAGGACTGAGGACAGTAGCAAAATCATCTATGCACTCAATGCTGAGATCTTGACGATAAAGAGATAGGAAAATCTCTCTGTCACTAATATCATCAGTCATAGCAAAACCAACCTCCTCAGTTTTGTGAAACCATCGTACCACGACCATCTTTTTGCCTTTAGAATCCTCATAAAGGTCTTCCAAATATGCAACAAGTCTCTTATCTTGCTCTGCTAAAACATACACAAAATCGTTTACCTACAATTAATTTGTGAAAAAATGAAGGTGAGCTTTGGCACAAGGAGAAGCAGTAGTAATAAAACACCAGCTGAACTAAAAAAAACATTAAAATAAACTCACAGAAATTCTGACACCATTCCGGATAAAAGATGGATAATGCTTACGCCGCTTCTTGCAAGTCCAAGAAGAACCCTTCCAAGAGGATTTTTTGGTCTGATTAATAGGCTCCTGAGATTTCCCATTCTGTAAAGAATCAGAAGAGAAAGTGGTTGATATTTTAAACTCTAAGAAGAAATCACTCTATACTCAAAAAAAACTCTTATGATAGTTAAAGCAGTACCACAAAAGTGCCCATATTTAATTCTCCAGCATCTTGTTCAGTCATAACAGTAGCTGGTACATCTGCTACATGAGGCATCAGACCTAAGAAGTTGAAGAAAACCAGTAACAAAAGATCAGCAATATATATCAACAAACGTTGATCTCTATTTAGAAAATCAAACAAAACTTGAAAAAGAATATCAATTCGTGCAGACATTGCTCAGTACCAAAAGGTGGAAACCGGATCTGTCTGCAGCAAAATTTAAGTCATTAATAGGTTTAGCTGCAAAAGGCGCAACGAACCACGTAAGATCTCTAAAAGACAATGAACAATATCTCCAAGTTAATTGGATAAACACTTATCTACATAACCTTCCCAATTCAGAAGCATCACCAAAACAGCTAAGAATATGCAGAGAATGAAAAAAAAAATCCTTTTTTCCTCTAACCTTTTACATCGACATGATGCTAAATACCCATAGAATCAAATTATCAAAAGGGTTGCGTTTAAACATTATCAAATCTGCTAATCGTAATGAAAAAATCCAAATTCTTCAGAACTTTTTTAGAAACCAATACGAACCCAAATAAGACCCTTTTTGAGCTATCCAGATCGAAACTCAAAGACCTAGAAAAGAGAAAAATTCGAAACAGAGATTTGAGAGAGAGAGAAAAATTACCAGAAACGATAGAATCGAGCCAATTCGCAACATCCTCTTTCGAATTAAGCTTCTTCAAAACAGAGCGATTCTTCTTCAAAGCGTATCTAAAAGACATACGTTTAGAACTCTTAACCCTCCCAACAACAGCTAGATCTGCAATCCCATCTTTCCTCTCAAGATAATAATGAACCTCAACCTTTCCTTTGCCGTTCTTCACATGCAGCTCATTCCAGCCGCAATACGCCGGCGTTTCGGAAGACCACGCCATTGTTATGGATCTCTCGAATCGGAAAAAAAAACAAAAAAAAAAACCCTAATTTGATGACCTCTCTCGGGTCTCTCTCTGTATGATGCGCGTGTAGTGATGAAATCGGAAGAAGAAAGAGAAGAAGAGGATTTTTGGAGGCTGAATTTGAATAATATAAAAAAAAAAAACAGAGGAGGGAGAGAGCTAATTAGGGTTTCGAATTTGGGGATAAGATCAAGGGTGGTGATTGGCTCCACGTCTATTATTCGGGAGGAGCGTGGTTTAATTAAATTACGATAGTATCCTCTTCTTTTAGCTTGATTTACGATAGTACCCTTAGAGAGGGATTTAATAGCTTCCGTCACGATTTTGGGATTTTTATTTTAAAAAGGACAAAAGACAAGTTGTAATTTGAAAAATTAAAAAATAATAAAAAGATCGAAACGCGTGAATTACGGATTTTTTTTATTTAATACTTAGAAGATGACTTGCTCTATTTCTTTGACAGCTGTGCTTTCACGTCTTTTTTTTTATAAATTCTGTTTCCCTTTTTTTAGATTTTTTTGTTCAGAGTATCTGTTTGAATTTAATTTTAAAATTTGGATCTTGAGAGGTAACAAACATGGAAATGATACATATTTGATCGAATCATATTATGAAGTAGGTGATTCTGGCTTTGACTAGCATTGAAGCTTTATTAGAAATTTAACCGCTAACAATTTAAAAAAAAAACAGATGAAACTAGTGGTTATAATAGTGGAACTCATGTTTTGTTATAGAACTCACGTTATGTTTTTAGTGTTAAGAAAAAAAAAATTGAAAATAATATTTTCATCCGTTACTAATTGTTGATTTGTTTTCGAATTTGTAAGTTTTAAGTTGCCACAATGCCACAAAAATTTTAGTTTTTAAAAAGGAGCCGAGTTTTTGGGGTTAAATTGATCTATTTATAAAGTTTGAAACTGTCCAATCTCATCGTGACCGATTCAAAAGTTCGGAGCAAAATCTGTAAACTGAAAAACACTACAGGTACTAAAGTGAGAATCACGAAAACAAAAACTGCAAAATTTTGTGCTCATCTTTTCAAACATACAGTATAAGGTATAAATTTCAATAACCAAAGAAAAAAAAAGAGTTTATGATCGGTTTATTTTACTTTTTCAATTAGATTTTCGATTTTATGGACAAAGTCATGTTTTCTACTATATTTTTATTGAATTGATAAATACATTGCAACTATACTAATTTTACATAACACATCAAACCCAAAGACTCATCCATCAACTAAACTCTTGTTAGACAACTGCAACTCCTCCTTAACCGGACTGCTACTCTCTTCCTTGCTATGATGCACCTGAACCGGTTTATACGTGTAAATCTTGGCGCACCATAGATAATACACGAAATTAACCGCTTGTAACAGAGTTATCAACCAGTAAAAATACTCAAGCCTCCCTCTGTTCAAATTGTTATCCGGTAACCAATTGCTCCCGTCCGGTTTAGCACTATATTTATGCACCAAAGTCACTAGCAATGTACTCGTATAGTTTCCAATCGATATCGCCATCCAAAACAGCGCCGTCGCCGTGCTCCTCATACTCTCCGGCGCCTGATATTAAAATGAATGATTAAATCGTTAGTTATTCAGTTATAGAAGTTAGTTAGTTAGTTAATACTTATAAAGTTCGTTAGTTAGTTAGTTATACTCTGTTTTTTTTTTCAAAGTTAGTTATACTCCTAACTAACTATGGGCTTATATAAGAGGCTTTGTATAGTGTTTAGAGTACCTGATCGTAGAAGAACTCTAAATGTCCAATGGACATGAAAGCTTCAGCGACTCCATGGAGACCATACTGAGGAACCAACCAAAGAAACGAGATTGGAACAATCGTGTGAGGTTTATCAAGAAGGCCATGCTCGACCGCGACCTGTTTTCGCTTAATCTCGATGAATCCGGCAACAAGCGTGGCGATTATCGAGATTATGAATCCGATTCCCATACGGTGGAGGTAGGTAATGCCTCTTTCAAGCCCCGTGAATTTACGGGCTACTTTGACAAAAACGCGGTCGTAAAAGACGATCGTGGAGAGCATTGCAACAGTGGTGAAAACTGACATTGAACCCGCTGGGATTTGGAATGATTTCGAGAGGTGACGGTTCATGGTTTTGGCTTGTTGTAAAGAGAAAGTTCCTTGTTGTGCATAGGCTGTGATTAGGAGTATCCCTGAGGCTCCTATTGGACCCATTCGGATCACCGATTTGAGCTCTTCGATCCTGTGGACTGTGCTTAGTCTCCAATGGTTAGGGACTTGACCTGGTTTCATATTGTCTTGGTCTGTCACTATTGCTGCCTTGTCCAAGAAACTACAATATAAGAGCATAGTTAGTTAGTTTAATTATAAGAAAAATGCAATTATTTAAGGTAACGACTATTCAAATTCTAAGACAAGTAAGTGACACATGAAAATGATTTAGGCCAGTCATTTACTATTAATTATCTAAAACCTTACTATTTTTGAAATGGGTCCAATAATAATCCAATTATTGATCATGATCATGATCATGCATATGTGCCAAAATAAAATGTCAACTTTATGATAACGTTGTCTTCTTGCTTTTGGAATTTCCCTTTCTCTACAATAAATCACCGATTACAAAATAAATGATGTAAGTTTTTGGATCTATTTTGTGAGTTTTACTTCTAATTTGTCTGGTTTCACACACCCCCCAGTGGACAAGTTGTTGTACGATTACTCAATTGTTTACGTTACTATATTTGATTTTTAGCTAGTCTTCAGGTCGTATTGACAGATTCAGATTCTAATACGTCTCCCCTCGTGACTATCTGGATATAATATAGTCAAACAACTCACACTACCTTATGATAAAAATAATTCAATAATATCCATTCCTAGGTTGATAATAATTTGGGTTAATGGATTAGAACATAAGCGCAGTACCTCATATGCTTGGTGTGGGTGAGTTTACCACCTAAGGAGATTGGACCATCAATCTCATCGTTGGAATATAGAAGAGAGGGATCAGAAATCATCTTCAGTTTCCTTTTCCGAAACGCCGCGACTCCCACTTGGATCAAGCGGGTAAACGGACTACCCGCAGGATCCAAATGGCGGTAAAGCTGGAAACCGCAGACGAAAGCGATAACGGATAAGAACATAGCAACTGTCGGTATGCCCAAACCTAGACCCCACCCAACGTTATCTTGGATCCACACAAGAACCGTCACCGCTAGTAAAACTGCCGCACCCATGCAAAAGTAGTACCTATATAAAATTTAATAACGCATTGAGTTATACTATCAAAATCAACACTTGCACATAAAAACATTCATCATAAGACGTCTAGAACACTTTTCAATACAAAAAGGATTAGATAGCTAATAGCTGCATTTTTTAAACTTAATCATGTTACATAGTCATGTTAGCTATATAGTCTCTTAGGTTGAAGACAAAACAGTAGTATAAGTTTCACACATGTTAGGTAATCCTAGTATTATTTAAACAATTAAAAACCTTAATATTTAAATATAAAATTGTACCAGTTGAAGTAGTTCCAGGTTTTGGTGGTTTGATTAGGATCCGACTCGTCGAACTGATCAGCACCAAAAGCAACAACACATGGTCGGATCCCACCTGAACCGAGAGCTCCAAGAAGAAGAGCTATGTACAATATACTCAACTGTGCTGTGTCTGCTACTACACAAACCTCTTCTCCGTGACATGGTGGTGGCCTTAGCGTCGGTACTATTGCCGACACCGTAAGCAACGTCATCCCCTGTTTTTTTTTACAATATAATTACCTCGTTAGGATAAAGAATGATCTAGAAAACATATAGTATGGTCCAAAGACACTAAACCTTAGTTTAATACTACAATGGTCCGTTAGACTCCGCTCGGACAACTTAGCTGTATTATATTAAAAAAAACTTACGAGTTGGTAGATAATGGAAGCAAAAGTGATGGTCCAAAAACGTCCGGCGAAAGAGTCGGCGACAAAAGCACCGATGAGAGGAGTAAGACTAGAAGTTCCGGCGAAGTTTGTGAGAGTGTTGGCTGCTTTGGTTAAGGGAAGGTGAAGCTGTGTTGTTAGATAGCTTATCATGTTTGCGTGAAACCCAACCACCGCCAATTTCTCACATATCTCGTTCGCTGTATATATCATTAGTCAGAGATTAACAACTTCATAAAATCTTTTTCACAAAAGATATCAAATGAAAAAAAAAAATGATCTTATTGTCATACCAAAGATGAAGGGCATAGTGATTAATCCACCCTTTGGTCGAGTTGGTGTTCCATGAAGTTGTTTCTCTTCTCCACTGATCTTGTTCTTGCTCTGCTCTTCCTCCATGTTTGTTCTTGAGTGTGTTACTTGTAATAGTTAACTATGTTACTGTAAAACTTGTGTAAGTGTTGAAAATGGTATTAACCAAGAGGGCAATATTTATAGGCTTTTTTTTGGTTTTATAAAAAAATTATTGAGTGCTTGCTTTATAGTGGCTCTCTCGTCCGTACGAGATCTATAAAGGAACGCGACAGTGACGTCTACTGATTTACTAGCCACGAATTAAACCAGGATTTGGTTTACGTGGACCGGATTGAGTTTCTAGATTCCGGTTCATCCTTTTGCTAATGTATACCTTTGGGATGGATTTGATATTTTTTGAAGATCGGACAATGCCTTAAACCGACACTCCCTAGTCTTTATTAGTTTACCAATCAACTATTTCGGTAACTTTTTCTTAATCGACTCTACAAAAATGAGGTTTGTTTATGCGGCCATGAGACTAGAAACGTTGTTGACCGAGGTAAAAACAAAAAAAAAAAAGGTTTTGGATTCACATATTTTCATACTATATATAGAAAATATGGATTTTATTTAGTAGTATGAGACTATGAAATACTCACGTAAGTTTTGTCTAGAGATGAAACATGATAAGAAAAAAGTGGTCCACTATTTTGTAAAAATCTTTGATGGTTTAACTGTTGTTGTGGTAGTATATATCTGATTTTTTTCATAATATTTTAGACATATTTTCCCTATTTTATAGTGTTTACTGTTTTATATCATACTGGCTTTGAAGAGACAATTTTGCGGATCAATATCGTCAACACAAAATCCAAACGTTTTGTGGTGGATACGTACCATTCACAACTTATTTGTATGGACAAGCGTTTTTGTGTGTATTATTTGCGTAATTATTTAGTTTTTTTTTTAATAAATAAATTAATCCACAAAAAATAAAATGATGTGATGATCTGATTTGAAGAAATATGACGTATATATATAACATGTTGTCATAATTACATTCATTTAATAAATTTAAAAGAAAAATTTATGTGACCATTTTCCCACTTCACTCTCTTGGTATTTTGATTTTTTTTTTTTTTTTTTGTATTTTGATTAAGAACCATCATAAATAAATGAAAAGAAAATTTTGAAGTTTGAAACGGAAAAGTCAATGAAAAAGAAGACGCGTAAGAATGTTATAACTATAAATTTGGATCTTGATTGAGATCTCTTTGCTCAACTAGCAATTCACTATCTTCTCATTTATAGAATTGCTGACACAAGATTACTCATAAGTCATAACTCTGTTTTTATATGCATACTTTGATCCTACAATCCTACAAACCGCGAAAACAGAATGTTGAACCAAAACCTAAACTAAGTCTAAATTAGCTCACTTGACAAGTTCTAAGTCCAACAAGTATAAACCAAACCGTTTCAAACTCTTCCATACTTACTTGATTTTTCATCACTTATTAAAACTATTTTTGAGTTTGTACTTCTTTTGTTATGTAACTCAGAACTCAGAAATATGTCAAATTGAGTGCTAGTTCGTGTAGTATATTTTCGCATGCGTCAGAAATGGATTGCGAGTGACCACCTTAGAGAGTTTTGGTAACCATATCATCTTAATACACAACATCACATGCATGTGGGGACTCTACCTCCCTTTATGCACACCAATCCCACTCTCTAGCTATAGTGCCACCAAGTGACGACTTATACCACCCAAAAATATCTCTTCCTTACATGATTGATTATAAATTATGAATAGTAACATAAAGTGTAACCAAGCTGTAATGTCCCTCACGTTAATTTCTTTTTGTAATTTGTAATCATTCTTACGTCAGGATTTATCATGCATTTATGTTTAATTAATCATAAAGTGGTCGAATTTAAAACAAAAAGGTTTTGTTTTATGGAGGTAATGTCTCTTTCATCTAGAAACGAGCATAAAAAATGAATTGATTTTTTCTTTTTATCGATCGATAGCTTATACATGTCCGTCGTCGTATACGAAATATAAGCACTTCTTCACGTTTCCCTTAACTCATTTATAATCTTTCATATTTAGACAGAAGACAGAACTTTAAAGTGTGTTCTTAAACGTATGAATGTTTCTATACATGGTAAACAAGAGAGACGATACTTTTTCTTGAAACTGTGACCAAGTCGCCCACTCTACGTCAGTTAGATAAAAGATTCGCATGATACTCTTAATAGTTTACTAAAAAATCCAACTCTTGCAACTTGCAATTGCAATCATATATATATACTGATATATCATATATGCACGTTCTATGTATCACATTAGTTTAGTCTATTATACTGCAGTTAAAAGTTCCCACTGGTGTGAAAGCAAATTAACGATTATGGTTTCAAATGTTATCGTGTTATGTAAAGTGGGAGTGTGGGAGATATGGTCAGAGACTCAGATTTTATGTTATATTTAACTATATCACAAACTGAAATTTTCAGTTCTTTCTTACAATATTTGCATTATACGGATATAACCTTATCGTGGACATACTATATTAAACTAGTATAAATGTAGAATAATTAATTCATGTACTTCAGGGTTTCATCTTCTTCCCATGATTGGTCGGTACTCTAAAATATATATTCGTCGACATGATGGCCTTTAAAAGTGTAATTAAATGTTTTATCATCATTCACATGCATGTTTTGTAATTTCATTTCATTATTGAACTGTTATGAATTTATACATTCAAAACATATTTAATTTTCTACAATATCAAGAATAAAAATACCACAATCCATAAATCTCATGTTCAAACCAAAAAAAAAAAAAAAAATTGAAAGAAGAGAAGAAGAAAAATGAGAATTGGCAAAGATCACATGAGATTGCTTCTTTCTAAATCTGATCAACAAATAATATTAGCTGTCTCACTTTGCTTCCACACACGTATGCTCAGCTTTTGTTCCCATCTCAAATTCGGCAAGCCTATCTTTCTCACAGTTTTTGTTTGTTTGCTTTTGTTTTTTTCGTTCTTGAACTGAAACGTATTTGAGTTTCATTTGAGAATCTCATCAATATTGCTATCATCTATGCCAAATCGAGAAATATAGAATCAATCTGCAACATAACATGAGTTTCTCCCACTCTATGCTTACTAGTTACCTCTAGCAAACGAGATTTTTTTCACAAGAGATCAAAATTAACCATTCTAAAGACATAAAATTCTATCAATATATGTAGTTTTTATAAATCTAAACAGCTATATTATCAGGAAAAGACAAGTTGCAACTACAGTATACATATAGGTGAACTTCAAGCAATTTGATACACTATCCTTTTTTACTATTCATATCTCCACTAAGTTAGGATGACTATAATATTCATGGAATTTACCAATTCATGAAAATGACATTTTGTACACAAAACACTATTCTCTTGCGATCTGATGAATGATTGATGCTTTTGCAAACCATTAATTTGATTTCATTCCGACATTTACACCAATACGACCAATTCTTTATTAAAATAATTACAAAAGGTAATTAAAAGACGATGTTTCATGTTGAGTGTAGCACTTTTGATTATTCAATGATGCAATCATTTTAGTTTCGAGTGATATGATCTTGCTTATTATAGCATTATCCCATGTGTAGGAGGGAAATATAAATAATGTAATATTGATAATTTATAAAAACAAGATCTACATAATACTCCAACATCTATAAATAACGTAATCACATAAAATTTTATTGAACTCTTTCTATACATATGTTAATCTAGATGGGTTTCGTTTTTCACGTTTGGCTTTCTTGTTATGTTGTATGAAACCTACATGAAATGTTTCGACAATATATAATTGCAAACTCAAACGGGAAATTCAATAAAGATTGGTTCTCGTGGACTAGTAATTTGATATGAATTGATACCTAAATGATTTTTGAAGTAAGGAAAAAAAAAGAGAAATTAGAAAAGTGTGATACCAAAACACAACGTGTCCCATCATTATGAATCTATGATTATTGGGGTTTTATATATGGTGGTTTGATTTTGAAGATTGGCTAATGTCATTATCCTGAAGATTGGTCCATGCCACTCAAAGTTGCAGTTTCTAAAGTGAATTTGTATTTCTTCTTGGACGGTCGATTTCAAAGATCGACATAGAAGATATATATATGTATAGTGCACGCCTAAAAACAACGACACATCCGTTGTTATGTACATAATAAAGTGTTTCGTCGTTTTGGAGAGTAAAACGAATCTTATTTTACCATATTTTTCTTCTCTATATAAGATATGAAGATTATGATGTGATGTGTCTACTACTTCCACCCCCCATGTTATCCTACAATATGTGAGATGAGATGAGACCTTTCTAAGCCTCACAAAACTATATAGGATAATCATAAAATCGCACACCACATACTAAATTATTATGCCACGTTACAAATTTGATAGAAATTAAACAACAAACTGAAATGAACATTTTCAAAACCAAAACTAGGTATTTGGAAATGTATAATCTTGGAAGTCAATGGAATAGTAGTAGTTATATGTCGATTCGAATGAAATGAAAGATGGATGTGTATATGTGACTATAAACACTATAAACAGTCAAGGATTTCACACTAAGGTCATCTTCAATCTTGCAAATTGCAATCACCTACTAACATTATATTAAGCTAACTCGTATTGATTTTGTAACAATAAAGAAGTAAGAAGAAGCATAAGCTGCGGATACTCTCGGAGCTAACATCATTGGCACTACAACTTGGGCTCTATTGATTTCTTCTTTCTTATAATCTGCTCTATGACTTGGGCCCTATTACTATTTTTGCCCCCAAATATAAACAACGATCATAACTAGACGTGTCTGTTTATAGAACTTGGGCCCTCTAGTTTTTTTGTTTATGTCTCTATATATCCCAAAATCCTGATTGTGATTAATTGATTACTGATTATGATTTATGAACATTATATTTTGAAGAAAACCAAGAAAAAAATATACTGACCAAATCACCGGGGTGGAGAAAGAAAGATCTATCTAAACCAGAACTAGTCAAATAAGAGCCGAACCAATTTTTTCCCATTTTTTATGGAATAAAATGTAAAATTTATTCGAAAAATACTTTTTGGTGCAACGGTTTTTCATTACGCAAAAATAAAAAAAATCAAAAGCTTAGGGGGGTATATTGTATTGGTGATTTGGTATGATTTTTATATTTTTAAATTTTAAGGAATTTAGAGAGATTTAAGGAAATTTTAAGATTTAGAAAATGATTTCAACAAATTTTGCAGAACTTTTGTTACAAATCCTTAGTAGTGATTAGTAGAATTTCAAGGCATTTGAGAAAACTAAAAACAAAATAAAAATGATTTTAAAATATTAGTTCGTAATCATCTTCCACACTGAATCATACACTTTTCAGTTCTACCCAATTTAATCAAACTCACAGAAAAGTCAATAGAATAACTGAACCTCTAACAATCAATTTCACTTTGTCTTATATAAATAAAAATCTCAGTCTCTTTATTATAAATTCCAAACATACCTTGTTAACAGAGAGAAAAAAAAAGAAGTAAATGAAACCTCTACCTACCGACTTCACTTGGCCTTATTATGAGAACTGAGTGTATATTGTCCAAGTTAAACCTCCTGCCACAAGCATAAATCATCTAAAACGTTTAAGCCAACGAACGCATCACAGATTCTGCTTTACATTATATAAATGAATAAAATATTAAGGAGATTGAGAGATAGAAAATGATAGCTTACTTCTTGCATATATCACCGTTGAGAACCACTAATGATAGCATCATTCCACATAGTTGTAGCAATTGTTGTTCTCCACTCGTTAGCATATTCTCTTTGTTGGTCTTGTGTACCAAGGAATTGATCACCACCACTATTTGTTTCAACAACACTTTGTTCATCATGAGATTCCTCAGGAGCAAACTCATCAAAACGATACTGGCGACGAAGATAATTATGCAATGCGGCACATGCAAGCACTAATTCTGTTTGTGTCTTATATGGAAAAGGAGGTGCAGATTTGAAGATCATAAATCTTGACTTGAAAATACCGAAGATTCTTTCGATAACATTTCTCAGCGAAGCATGACGGTGGTTAAATAATTCTTCTTTGTTTTTGGGATCACTGTCTCCACCGGTAAATTCTTTGAGATGATAACGAGTACTTCGAAATGGAGCAAGAAAATTACGTCGGTTTGCAAATCCACAATCGACTAGATAAAACTTTCCTGAAATATTTATATCATACGATCAAAACTGAAAATAAAATAAAAACGTAATATTTATTGGTATAGTGTAATGCATGTACCGTCTGCAACTTCAAATCTATTGATACTTCTTGTTAAAGCATCATTTAACACTTTTGCATCGTGAGCTGAACCTTCCCATCCACTAAGGACATATATAAATTCTAAATCAAAGTTGCATGCAGCTAACACATTTTGGGATAAAATCCCTTTACGATTCCGGTAGCTAGCAGTTTCATTTCCAACAATCATAGCAGGAATATGTGTTCCGTCAATAGCCCCAACACAATCCTTAAAAAAATATAAATTATAACACAGTTAGAATTTAACAAAAAAAACCAATAAAAATAACCTCTTACGTACCTTAAAATATGGATAAAACCTTGTGCTTTCTCTTATTTTTGATGGCACTGCGTTTCCTGGTTTGGCCATCAAACTTGGGGCCATTGTGTTTAATGCCCTTAATATTTTATTAAAACTCACACTTATTGTATAACTTGATCTCTCAAACACATCTTGAGGAACAATATATTTCGAGCTCTGGCCAACAATGAGTAAAAATGTGGCCAGCATTTCCTCAACCGAAACCCATCTTGTATCTCTTAAAGAGGTTTCCAATCGAATACGATTGCATAATTCCAAAAAAGCCTCTGGATACATACGGTATAAAGTCCGAAAATGCTCCTTACCCCCACGTAGAACGCTTTGTACATATTCATTTCCCAATGTTGTAGTTGGTTTTTTCATGGGACGTTGAATTTGTGAAAGAAGATGTTGTACTAGAAAGTAAATCCTCACATTGATAGTTGACATCAAAAGCACAATATCCACGTCTGATTGAAATGTCCTTGTTCTTTTTCTATTTTTCCTTGCTTGTAGTTCTTCCCTCTCACAAACGACATGGTGGTCCATCATTAAAGAATCTGGAAATGGAAATTATAAACAAAAAAAAAGTTCTACATAAACAAGTATAACGTACATAATCCCCTACATTTACCAAAATGTTAAATACCTTTGGGACTGAGTCTTCACTTGAAAATGTATCGCCTTGTTTTTTAGAACGTAATCAGAACCTTCCTTGCCTACACATTAAACACAAGCCACTTATGTAACAAAAGATGAAGCAAGGACAAAAGCTTGTTTAGGCAAATAAAACTTCATCAAAAAGAAAAACAGCTACGGTGCATTTTATTAATTGGAAAAAAATACAAGAAAAATATCAAACTCAAAATAAAAACCATGGAAAACGCATAGATGATTAAAATTGTAACAAAAACAATAAGCTGGAAAAAAAATTCAAAAGCAACGAATGATATTTCTTCCTCCCTCAACTCAAGGCTTGCGCACACTACGTTTAATCCATCCAAAACGTTCCTCTGTAGTCATACTCACAAATCCGGCATTCATACCCCACTGGTGAATTAAGTTCATCGCATCGAAACGTTCATTTTCCTCTAAACCTGGAATTTCCTTAATAGCATCCCATACATTATTATTCTTTTCCTCAGCTTGCTTCTCTTCAGCTTCTTTCTGCCATCTTTGTTGTATCATGCTAAATAGTTGGCTGCTCATTCCTGTCGCTGAACTTATCTCATCAGTAATCTTGTCCACATTGTATCCCTCAGTCCTAGTTTTCTTCCTGATAGGAAGCTTTTCGTTTGATTTCCTCCTGCCTAATGAAGATGAAACAACTTGCTCAGGTAAATCTTCTACTCCATCAACCTCATTCTCATCCGCCATTTGAGGAATATAGTTATCTTGAGTTTCCCATTCACTATCTCTTGGTGCATAAGTTCGGGCCTCTGTGGTATCACCTAACCCAATTGCATTCTTTCCAGTTGCAATCTTTTTTCCAAAGATCTTGTCTAAATCCTCAAAGTCTTCAAATGAATCGTCACGTAAATGTTTACTTTTTGAATGTCCCTGTTGTGACAAAGAAAAAACGTTATCATATAAGACAAAAACATATGCATTAGAAATTAGTAAATTAAACTTGTATCTGTATTTTTACAAATTAGTTACCTTAAAATAATCATCCCACACTTCTTGTCTAGCAGTAAACTTTTTCGTCTCCGGATCCCAACCAAATCCTGAACTATAACTTAGAAGATCTACAAAACTCTTGTGCCTAGCCCTTAAAATCTTCATCCTGTTTTTATAGTTACTATATGTTTTGGTAGTCCCACACTCCTTGTTAAGAGCTGGTAGTATTCGTTGCTCCACTGTAAGTTTATTGAACGAACCACTAGCATCACACCAATTCTGATTCACAGCATCCACCAATAAACGCACCAGTATTTTTGTTTCTTGGCTAGACCATGGTAGATATTGACCCTTACATTTTTCTTCTTGTGGATCCCCCATTATAGTATGAGAGATAGCTAGCCATACAATTAATAGAGTAAAAAAACCAAATGGAACCTCAAACAAAAAAACAAGAACAACAAACTAAACGTTATAATTAAAACCCATAACAAGTTTGATCACAAACACCATAACAAGTTTGATAGATAGCCATACAGTT